CCCCAAACCCCAAAGCCTCAGCCCTGAGCGAGCCAAAATCTCCGATCCTTGCGGAAGCCTGTGCAAACATCAGCAAGAAGAACACATGCTGCGATCCGTAGAAGCGTGGGAGGTGCATGGGGGATACTGGATTTCGGGTAGCCGAGACTTCGAACACATGGTTTGGAGTTTGAGCTCACTAACTTCCGTCTGCGCCGTGGCGTGAAGGGCAACACATCAGAAGGAACCGACCAACCTTGTGCTACCTGTTCATTGCACCCCACTGCCACATGCCGCAAATAAGAAACTGCAACACCATGCGAACCACTGAACCTCCCACATTCCCACCGAAACCCTACAGCACAAACCCGACTGGACATTCCGGGCCCGATACTTCGAAGATCCAGTTGGAACAATGGCCCACTGGGAACACAACAAGACAGCCTACTTGTCGGGTATCATGGGGAACTAAAGGTTCACCTTTTTGGCTATATAGGGATTATATAGGGACTATGCTACCCCAAAAAAGGGTGGTTGTCAAAAATTATGATCCCTTTTTGGGTACCTTAGATAATAGGTGCTGTATTATAATAGGGACCCAAAAAAGGGACCCTAATTTCGACAACAACCACCCAAAAGGCTACAGGTTACCTACTCTACTACAAGGACAAGGGGGCTTGCTTCTCGGCTTCGGCTCCGGCCCGCCCAGACCTTGCACTATCCCCAAAGATCCCCTACCCCTTAGAATAACCCGTTAAGATCCCTTAAAGGAATCCCTTAAAGGAGCTCCTTAAGATCCCTCAAAGGAGCCCTTCAAAGGAACACCCAGAGATCCCAATACGCCGTAACTACGGGTTATACTTTAAGCTTTAGGAGGCTTACTATTATATCGTTGAAGGTACATTCCTTAATTAAGCGGTATTGGGTTCTCTGGATCTTTAAAATCATACGAGGGACAAACTCTTGTCAGGCTTCACCGGGTTAAAGATTATCTATAATTTTGAGAATTTCACCGGGTCCAAACAATGTACCCTATATAAATTACCGAATTACATTACCCATGAACTCCAGAATTTCAGCCGGCGCTCGTCAGGAGCCGGCCCCGCCACTTACGGTCTCTTCCGGAGCCTGCAGGCGTCAATTACTTAAAGGATCATGGGACTTAGTAACTGGGGTTATAATTAGGGTAACTATACCTATTACTACTTATAACCCCAGTTAAGGTACTTAGAACCTTACTTAGTAAGTCCCATGATCCTCCAAGTAGGGTCTCCTAGCAAATACATTCAACGTGGGCTACGAAAGAAGGGGCCCACATACAGCGCTTGAGCCATCGTAGGATCCTTAGTTGTGGGGAAGCTGGGTCACGTTCTGCTCTAAGCAAAAAAAGCGCTCTGCTGTCATGTTGAAGAAGGGTTTCCAATGGCCAGGGTATTTGTCAGCCAACCTTGCTTGCAAACTAAGTACTTAGCACGTCCCTTTATTCTTTGAAGCACTGTCAGAGCTCGACTCGTCGCCGTGATGTACGAGGACCTCAATAAAAATCCACACCACGGATCCCCCCGATTTGCCTTCGCATCTCCACTGACGACTTCGAACTGCACACGTTTCGCACGAATGAGGTTAAACCTTGCTGCACGCCGAAGGGAGGCTTCGGGGTCTGAGGGCTTAGAGTTCAGAGCGGAGGGCTTAGGCAAGGTTCCCAGAACAGCAGCTCGTGAGACTCGGGAGACTGACAACATAGGTCAGAATCATAATGTTGATGGCGACAGGTTGACGACCATGTTTGTCCTGGCGGTAACGGTGCAGGTGGTGGTGGCGGTGGTGGTGGTGGGTAGCGGTGGAGCAAGTGTAGATCGCCACTGATGGCGACCAGGACTAGCCACAAACAGTTGAGGTTGCTTGTGGTCGCAGGCACGTGCCTGTCGTTGGTTTTCCTGACTCGGTTTGAGAGAGGTCCCCCAGTGATCCCGGGCACAAGGGCGCAAGGGCACAAGGGCACGGCAAGGGCACGGCAAGGGCACGGCAAGGGCACCACAAGGGCACGGCAAGGGCACGGCAAGGGCACGGCAAGGGCACGGCAAGGGCACAAGGGCACAAGGGCACAAGGGCACAAGGGCACAGGGGCACAAGGGCACAAGGGCACAAGGGCACAAGGGCACAAGGGCACAAGGGCATGAGGGCATACGGGCACAAGGGCACAAGAGCGCGAATGCACAAAAACATATATACAAATATACAAGTATACATATACACATGTATACATTTCTACATATGTACACATATACATATAACACGTATAAAACATACATATGTATGTACATATACAAAAGTACAGATGTACATATATACATCTATACATATATACACATATACGTATATAAACATGCACATAATTACTTATGTACATATACACATTTTGATATATATATATATATATATATATATACATACATGCATGCATGTGCATACATACATACACATATACATATGTACACGTACACATATATACACAAAACACGTGTACACATATACATATATACATTTATACATATATACATATATACACATCTAAATATATGCATCTACACAAGAATACATAATTACCCATACACATATACACATATACATGTACACATGTATACATATAAACATGAATAGAGTTGTGATTTTAAAATCAGGGGCGCCCCATCAGTCCGAGGCTCCATCCTCGGAGTTCAAGGGTGATAAGACTTCTGGTTTTAAAGACAGGACCGCCCTATCAGTCCGAGGCTCCGTCCTCGGAGTTCAATGGTGATAAGAGTTCTGATTCTGAAATCAGGGGCTCCACATTAGTCCAAGGCTCCATCCTCGGAGTTCAAGGGTGGTCAGAGTTCTGTTTTTTCAAAATCAAGGGCACCCCGTCAGTCCAAGGCTCCATCCTCGGAGTTCAAGGGGTGGTGAGAGTTTTGATTTTAAAATCAGGGGCGCCCCATCAGTCCGAGGCTCCATCCTCGGAGTTCAAGGGTGGTAAGAGTTCTCATTTTGAAGTCAGGGGCGCCCCATCAGTCCAAGGCTCCATCCTCGGAGTTCAAGGGTGGTAAGAGTTCTGATTTTAAAACCAGGGCCGCCCCATCAGTCCCAGGCTCCATCCTCGGAGTTCAATGGTGATTAGAGTTCTGATTTTCAATCCAGGGGGTCCCATCAGTCCCAGGCTCCATCCTCGGAGTTCAAGGGTGATAAGAGTTCTCATTTTCAATCCAGGGGGTCCCATCAGTCCCAGGCTCCTTCCTCGGAGGTCAATGGTGATAAGAGTTCTGATTTTAAAATCAGGGGTGTTCAAGGGTGATAAGACTTCTGGTTTTAAAGACAGGACCGCCCTATCAGTCCGAGGCTCCATCCTCGGAGTTCAAGGGTGGTAAGAGTTCTGATTTTAAACTCAGGGGCGCCCCATCAGTTCGAGGCTCCATCCTCGGAGTTCAAGGGTGGTAAGAGTTCTCATTTTTCATCCAGGGGCGCCCCATCAGTCCCAGGCTCCATCCTCGGAGTTCAATGGTGATAAGAGTTCTGATATTGAAATCAGGGGCGCCCCATCAGTCCGAGGCTCCATCCTCGGAGTTCAAGGGTGATAAGACTTCTGGTTTTAAAGTCAGGACCGCCCCATCAGTCCGAGGCTCCATCCCCGGAGTTCAAGGGTGGTGAGAGTTCTGATTTTAAAATCAGGGGCACCCCATCAGTCCAAGGCTCCATCCTCGGAGCAAAGGCGATAAGACTTCTGATGTTGAAATCAGGGACGCCCCATCATGCCAGGGCTTCATCCTCGGAGTTCAAGGGTGATTAGAGTTTTTATTTTCAAGCCAGGGGCGCTCCATCAGTCCCAGGCTCCATCCTCGGAGTTCAAGGGTGATAAGAGTTCTCATTTTCAACCCAGGGGGTCCCATCAGTCCCAGGCTCCATCCTCGGAGGTCAATGGTGATAAGAGTTCTGATTTTAAAACCAGGGGTGTTCAAGGGTGATAAGACTTCTGGTTCTAAAGGCAGGACCGCCCTATCAGTCCGAGGCTCCATCCTCGGAGTTCAAGGGTGGTAAGAGTTTTGATTTTAAAATCAGGGGCGCCCCATCAGTCCAAGGCTCCACAAGCTGCGCAGTTGGCGCAAGCGGCGCAGCCGGCGCCGGCGCACCGGCGCATCCATGAGGGTCGGCGCACCGGCGCACCGGTACATCGGCGCATCCGTGTTCCAGCGGCGCAACGGCGCACTGGCTGGCGCATCGGCGCAACCGAGTTGCATGCGATGCACCGACGCACCGCGCAACTGTGAGGTGCTGCACCCATTGCCCCCACGCTCCATATATACATATATATATATATATATATGTACACATATACATGTACATACATGTACACATGTAAACATATAAATATATAAACATACATACAAACATACTTATATACACATACATATAAAGGTAAATATATGCATGTACACATATAAACATAAATACACATGCTCTAAGCATCCTGGCATCATCAGCAAAAGAACAGGAACGAAAGCGAGGCGTTCGAAACTTCATACCAGCTTGACAAGCCCGATGCCAGTGCACAAGGACACCAGGGCACAAGGGCACAAGGACACCAGGGCACAAGGGCACAAGGGCACAAGGGCACAAGGGCACAGGGCACAAGGGCACAAGGGCACAAGGGCACAAGGGCACAAGGGCGCAAGGGCGCAAGGGCACAAGGGCACAAGGGCACAAGGGCACAAGGGCCCGGGAACAGGAGAGGACCGAAGCCGAGAGAGGCCAACGTAAGCTTTGGGAAGTTATGGTTCGCAATAGGGTTCGGCATCCAGCCTTGACAACTTCTGTGCAAATCGCTAGCGGACAACCCTCAAAGCGAATTGCCTTCCACCGAACTTGAAACTTAAACTCTACTCCCCGACATCACACCAGCGAACCGACAGTGTGGAGTTTAATTTCGGCCCCCTTCATTTGGGAGGTTTTCTTTGTGTTCATGCTCTTGTCAACTCCCTGCGCCACATTATTTACCGCACATTCACGGTGCAAACTCCCCAGCCCTGCGGCTCGCTGCCAAGATGCTCGTTGCTCCATCGCAGCACGACCATGCCAGACTTCTGTGCAGTGACCGTGCCGGAGTTTTCCAGGTCAACTGTGCCCCAGCGCTTGAAGTCGCACAAGACCTCCGCCAACGAAGATCTAACGTCGTAAATCAAATCCTTAAAGTGAGCTCTAAACCCTGTAAACCTTACATACAGTCATAAAGCCCTTAATTCAAGCCTCAAGACCCTGTAGAGGAAGCCCTAAGCCACCAAAGCTGTGCTTTAGGCAAAGGCTGACCTTGTGGGGGTTGCACGTTCGTCGATCAATAGCTCTAGGGCGGACCTCAAGAACAACCACCCAGACCTTCCAAAATCCCTTAATTAAGGAATATACCTTCATTCATGTTAGGGATCCTACTATAACTTAAGGTATATTCCTTAATTAAGTGATTTTGGAAGGTCTGGGCAACATCGGTGATAAGGCAGTTTAGTTTAAGGGTTTAGGGCTTAGGGAAGTACGACTAGAACGATTCTGAAGTAGGGACTCGTAACAGAACTCGGGGGTTAGGGATGTGAGAATCGTACATGAAGCCATCATGCATACTTCCCTCGCCAGAACTGTTACTCCCTCACCTGCAAGTCTAACACATAACCTATATGGGTGGTTGTCGAAATTATGGTCCCTTTCTCGGCACCCTAAATATTAGGTTTAGGTGCCGTATTATAATAAGGACCCAAAAAGGGACCATAATTTTGACAACCACGCATATAGCCCTCACCCTTAGAGCACGAGTTCCGGCCCGGAACACTAGTTTCTTGAAAGTGCCTGATATAGGGGCCTTAATAATTTCAATAGGGTTTTGGGGGCCATTATACGATAGTTATGGTAAGGAACCCCTACAATACTATTTAGGCCTCTATATTGGATGCTCTGAAGACTGACTTGCCCAAGGTTTTTCTGCCGCTTGTGCTTGTTGATGCTGCTATGTAAGTCTCCATGCCTGCCGCACAATCGGACAGCAAGGCCAAGAATCACCGGGCAAACCACCCTAAACCCTAAACCCAGGTTATTTTACATCCAAGCTTGCATGCTTGTTCTGAACCCTGGATCCCATGAGCCTTATCTCAGAAAGATCTTGACTCATGCCGGGCACCCCCCGAAACCCTTAACTGCCTACTCCCTAAGGCCTTACGCCTCACACCCTCAACCTGCAACATCCCCCACCTCCCTGTTACAAGGTTCTGAATTTGCGTGTGCGGACTTGCTTCGTAGAGAGCAGCCTCCACTGGTTAACTCCGAAGCCACTTGGGGGTTTCCGAAAATTAGGGGGTACCTTGTTTTGCTCCTTTATAAGAAGGATCCTACTATCTAGGGTGCTATATCAGGGTCCCCTATTTTCGGAAACTCCCACTTCAGGGCGACCATGGCTTGCTCTCTTCTGTCTGGTTCTTAGTAGGGGAATTGCGGGAATGGATCCCTATAGTACTCCCTGTATAATCCCCAACAATCGTCTCCATAAGCCGTTCCCCTATTCCCTACTAAGAACCAGACAGTCTTGGTACTTTTAAACATCCCAATCAAAGTGCTAAAGAATGCCCCAACCCAGAACTTGGGTACGAGATTTCAGCATTCACTAATTAAGAGTAACAGTCAGGACAGTGCTTTGTGCGTGGTATCTGGTTTTATAATGTACATACATAGATATCATTACTAACGATTCAGACCTGTGCGTTGATAGAACTCAAAGGCATGAGTGCTTAAACCTACAAAACGGTTCAGGGTGCACGCATTGCCTCCTCCTGCAGCCCCTGGTAGTCATCCACCTCGTCGGCCTCACCTCAGGGCGTATATATATATATATATATATATATTTTTTTTTAAACTCCTTTTCCCAAGAGGCTGCAAGCTGCGACTAACCGTCAACCATCAGACCTTAACCCGAAAGCCTTAACCCTAAACTCTGAACCCGAAAGCCGAACTCTAAAATTTCAAACCCTTACCCCGCAAGCCTGGTTCATAACCCGTGAACCATGACTCCTAAGGTTTAGGGTTTAGGGTTTAGGGTGGAGTCCTAAGCCCTCAGCCCTAAAAATCCTCTATTCCGTCACACAGCTAAACCCCAACACACGCCCCAAAAGATCAAACTAAAACGCCTTTGAACCCTAAACTCCATGCCTCTGCCAGCCTAAATGCTACGGTCCCAAAACCTTCCGAAAGTATTAGTATAGAGCTCGGGTTTGAAGATCTGATCATGTTGCGAAAAACGTCGGCTTCAAGGGAATGCACAGTGCTCCGGCGAAGTTGAAGTGGCTTTAACGTCAAGAAATTCGGCTTGCATTGAATCCCCAGTGCGGGGCAATCGTTCAGACTGGGTTTGCGGGCTTCGGGGCGTAGACCTTCGACGGGTTAAGGCTGCTTGGATGTTGAAGCCCTCATCTAAACTGGAACCTGTCTTGTGCTTCAAGGCTCGCCAGCAACCCCTTCACCATAATCACAAGATACCCTTTTCGCCATGATCCCGTCCTAACAAGGAAGCCCCAAGCAAGAAAGGGCACAATGATGCTACAATGCGGCTGGGAGACAATGACGATACAAGGATATACCAGGTTACTACGTCCCTGTATACGCTTAGGCATGCTCCGTAATGAACGGGTGTTCGGTGGGTAGTTAGCTACTTCGGTGTGAACTCCCAAGCAAGGCGAACCTTTCGAAATCAGGATTACATACCTACTCAGCCCCGAGGAACTACAGCTCAACACAAACTTCGACAAGCGTTGCAACCCAATTCCGCTGAACAAGCCCTAAACAAAGTCAAAGCCGAAGAGCTTGACACCAAATCCACCGCACTGCCATCCTCGACGACCATGCCCGTGCGTTCCTTCCGTCGGTTTCGGGGTTTCGGGTTTGGCATTCATGTCCGATAATGTCTGTCCCGCGCGCCTAATGTGGTTCGAGAGATGATTCTCACGGCCCTGCCACTATACTCCACACATAGTCTGAAGAAGTGTCCTTATGGAAAGACAGCATGTTTTCTCAAGTTGCTGGCCCTACGACAAGACGCTGTCTTCATCATCGTGCCGGTGTGGATGCGGCGACACATCATCGTGCGGGCATGGATTCGGCGAAAGTGAGTTGCTGGCGTTGATGATATCATCGTGCCGGCATGGATGCGGCGACAGTGGACGTTATCGGCGTGTGGGCATGGATGCGTCGACAGTGGATGCGCTGGTAGCATGGATGGTATCATCGTGACGGCATGGTGGCCGCGACAGTGGATGTGCTGATCGCATGGATGTCATCATCATGCTGGCATGGTTGTGGGAAGGCGGCTGCACGTGGGCATGGCTGCAAGAAGACCGCTGTGCAACCAAAGTGCCTGCGACCACGATCTCATGCGTTCACCAGCACGAAAGGCACGAACGAAACCTTCAATGTGTCCGAAGCAGGGCGCCTGCCGACGATTGCAGGCAACCCCCGAATGCTGAAACTGCGCGTGAACAGCCGACTGGTGGGTTCCACAAAGATGACTTCAAGAAGAGACGTATATCCCCCGGGAATCCCCTGCAGATAAATCCTGAGAACGCCAGAACGACTCCAAGGAAACCCTAGGAAAACAAGCAGTCTGGAGATGACCGCTATCCACCTGAGCATGAAAGCAAGCGGAATCCCGCCTGACGCCCGGTTTAGGGTTCAGCGTTGTGGCTCTGGGGTTTCGGGTTTAAGGATGCTTACAAAGGACCACGAAGCTGACACCGTTTCTCACCTTCAGACAGTCGCTAGATGATGCTCATCACCAGGGCCCCCGAAAAACTACTTGTACTGAACCTCGACTATGCTCACGCCACCCACTGAATTATGACGATATCGGAAATCGTATCCCGAAACCGTAACTTTAAACATTCTCAGAGACTCCAAAACCCTATCTTATTAGGGTTCCTACAGTATGATAATCTAAGGTATACCCAGAGGCTCCATAGTAGGTCCTTTTTGGGATTACCTTAAAGGATTCTATCTACGAACTCCAAAAAGGAACTACTTTGGAGCCTCTGGGTAGTCATTGTTTAACCCAAAGTGTCCTGTGTACCGATATAGTAGAATGTAGGGTTTCCATATTTAGAATTACTAATATGACTTAGGGAAGTATTCCCCATGACAGTACATAGGACCCTTTGGGTTGTGCCCTGAGGCTCCATAGTAGTTCCTTTTTGGGGTTCATATGTAGAATCCTATAAGGTAATCCAAAAAAGGAAGTAATTATTATGGAGCCTCTGGATATAAACTCTTATAGTGGCCCTTATAGTAACCCTTATAGTACCCTTACAGTCACCCTTTCTTGGATCCCTTTAAAGGTATCCCTTTTTTAGGAATTGCCTATAAGGGGTTTGGGAGTCTCTGGGTTCGGCACTTGGGCCCCGAGGCCAAGACCTGCCGAGCCGTCGTGCCGCGGACGGGGGAGGGACCTCGGGCTTTTCCAAGACAAGGCACTAGGGTTCAGGGGTTAGGGTTTAGGGGTGTTTTTTTTTTTGAGCCCCTTTTTCCGCCTGCAGTGTCTCAACCTAGGGGTGGGTTTAGGGTTTAGGGTTTAGCGTTTAGGGGTTTAGGGTTTAGGGTTTAGGGGTTTAGGGTTTTAGGGTTTAGGGTTTAGGCGGTTTAGGGGTTGAGGGTTCAGGGGTTTAGGGTTTAGGGGTTTGGAGGTTTAGGGTTTAGGGGTTTGGAGGTTTAGGGTTTAGGGGTTTAGGGTTTAGGGGTTTAGGGTTTAGGCGGTTTAGGGGTTTAAGGTTTAGGGGTGTAGGGGTTTAGGGTTTAGGGTTTAGGGTTTTAGGGTTTCAGGGTTTAGGGGTTTAGGGGTTTAGGGGTTCAGGGTTCAGGGGTTTAGGGGTTTAGGGTTTAGAGGTTTGGAGGTTTAGGGTTTAGGGGTTTAGGGGTTTAGGGGTTTAGGGTTTAGGCGGTTTAGGAGTTTAAGGTTTAGGGGTGTAGGGGTTTAGGGGTTTAGGGGTTTAGGGCAGCGTGCTTTAAGTAAGGAGCTGACAAGTAAAAGATGTTCTATAAGGGTTCTAACTAAGGAACTGAAAAAGTACAGGATGTTTTATAAGGCTTCTACAAGTGTTCCGAAGGAGTCTTAAGTTTGGATTGCGGGGGTTATGCCCTCTAAGCTGGAATCTTCAGGCCCTGTATCATTACGCTCTTCTTGCTTTTGCTGTGTTTTAAGCCCCATTCGGAATAGAGCTTAGGGTTCAGGTTCATGGTAGTCCATACCCTTATTGTGTCTGCCACCACCCGTTATTAATATCTTGCCCATCGACAAAAAGGGCGCAGGTACGGTTCTTGCCCTGGGAAGCTTAGGATTTCTAGGGCCCCCAAAAAAGCAAATAAGCAAACATAAGGATAGGGATATCCCATATAAAACCCCCTTATAATGAAGCACAATAAGGTAGGGATATCCCAATGCTTATGCTTATGTGCTTGTTGGGTCCTTAAGACAAGACGCGGGAAGGCACGGCTGCAGTGTCGTCGGGAACATCCCAAACGGCCACTACCCCGAAGTCCACCTCTCAAGGTGCGCGGGTGTAGTAACCCAGAGAGCCCAATACCCCTTAATTAAGGAATATATAGCTTAAATCATAATATGAAGCCCCTTAAAATCTTAAAATTTGAGCCATATGTTCCGTAATTAAGGGGTATTGGGCTCACTGGGAAACCCGTGTCGACAGTTGAGTACTGCTGCAGCACTGCAGTGAACCCCAAGAGGTTGGAACACAGACTATGGATGATTCGTACTAGGATCCCCGCTTCTTTTCCTGAAGGGCATGGGGATACCGGTGTTCCAACTATCTTGCAGGAAAAATGAGTCTCTGAGCCTTCCGTGGTTGATAAGTGCGCATGCATAGCTGCAGGTGCCAGGTCTAGATTCAGACGGCTGCTATGCTGCTATGAGGTGTCAGGTTTCGTAGGAGGCTCGAGTGTACTCCTCTCAGTGTGTTCCGAGTTTCGGGGTCAAAACAAAGTGACCGTAGCTTATGAAGCCCAAAGCGCCACGAGTCAAGCCTGCCGTGCCCAGACAACCCACGCCCCGCCCCCCCCTCTCTCAAACCGATAAAATCCGCGGCCTCAGGTGGTGGAAGCATCGGCCCACCGGGCAGGACGATCTCAGAAATCCAGATAACAAGTGACCTTCAATCTAAACCCCAAGCTGCATGACCCTTACTTACTAGAATAGACTGGTATCATCGTGAGGACTCCAAACTGGGCCCCTAAAGGGAACCCTGATGCCAAGACATGAAGATGAAGCTAGGCGGTTCGGAAATTTGGGTGTGTAGGGTTGCTGAGCTTGGCGGTAAAGCAGATCGGGTGCAGCACACTGAAGATATCGGGTTCCGGGTGGCACCCTGCACAATCATTCATAACAATGAAACCCCCTCTTCGACTTCGCAAGCTAACTGCAGTCGCAGATGCGAACTTCCAAGAAATGCGCTGGCCGCACTTCACCTCTACGGCATGCTCCAAAACCTGGGCCAAATTGCTGGGCAACAAGTCCCACATGCTCCAAATAAACAAACATATTAAAGGTGAGGCGGTTCTGGTTTTTGTCTGGGCTAGTACTGATAAAGTATATAGTACCTACTTTAGGCTGATTGGAGTGCTGGGGCAGGTAAACCTCATCGCCGAGAAACGCTACCTCGCTTGATGTAGTGGAAATCTGCACTTCGCTGGTCGTTCTCCTCCTGCACATCGGGGTCATAACCATATGGATAGTTTGAACTGTATCGACCCTAGACATGCGCAGGTGATGAGCGTAATGGAAAGGTTGTCAAATTAGTACTTTCAACAACACCATGCAGTCCCTAAGCTTTACGCCCTAGAACTCCCGAATCTAAGGACTCAGGTATTAAGGCTTTTGGGCCCAAAGACCATACTATATATGGTCAGGCGTCTGGCGTTCCCAGCCCCCCCCCCCCGCAATGGTATGGTCTGCTAGGGTGGGGGGGGGGGGGTGGTGGCGTGTGCGGACAGGGGTCGGAGCCGTTGGAGCTGGGATGGTTGGTGCTGGCGGCCAGGGCTCACACGCAAGCCCTTCGCAAGCAAGCCGTAAACCCTACAACGCAGCGCGTGCCCTTGTTTTGAGTAACCTTAAGTTGTACTTCCAACCCTACACCCAACCCTAAACCCCACCTAACTGCAGGCTCTAAGCCTAAAGCAGAACATACACCGCAAGTCCTCCCTAAGCCCTTGTCGACTCGAAGCGTTATACCTTGTAACCGTAAACCCAACACTGAAAAGCTTAAGCTAAACCCTAACCCCAAAACCCCACAACCACCCCACAGGGGGAAGAGGGACCCCACACCGCACACCACAGGGGAGGGGGGGTCCCACCCTATATCCGGACCATTGACCTTTGGGGGGGGAGGGGGGGGCCGCGGAGCGCGTGTGCTCAAAACAGGGGCACGCGCTGCGTTGTAGGGTTTACGGCTTGCTTGCGAAGGGCTTGCGTGTGAGCCCCAGTGACAGCTCCAACGGCTCCCCCCCCCCCCCTAGCAGACCATACCATTGGGGGGGGGGGGGGGGGGGGGGGGGGGGGGGGCTGGGAACGCCAGACGCCTGACCATATAAGGCTTTTGGGCTATTTTGATCCCTAGGGAAAGACCTAAGCCCCGCGAGGTGTCCTTGGCCTTCTGACGGAATGCTCCGAGCTCTCGCAAGGTCCTCGGTGCTGCTCCGGCAGGTCACGACAACAGCCTCTACTGGCTTGGGTCTGTAGGGTTTATTTAAATTACCCAGAGGCTCCATAGTAGTTCCTTTTTGGGATTACCTTATAGGATTCTATATGTGAACCCCACAAAGGAACTACTTTGGAGCCTTAGGGTATAAATGCAGAAAAATGTGAAGACTTTAGGTGCAGCTAAATTAGTGGTAACAACCGCAATAACCCCACGGGTTTGGGGTCTATGCTTTGGAGCTTGAGGAAGGCTTCGAAAGACTTCAGGACAGTTCCGGGAATGCAAGGGCCACGGTCGGGCGCCTTGAATCTACGCGCACGCTCGCTTTCGCCAAGCACCGTTCTTATGAAGACAATCTGGCAACCAGCATGACCCAACACCGCTGTTACGTAGTAGGAACATGTAGGAACGCCTGATTTCCGAACATCAGATAAACGCGTGGACTTTCCGCAAACTATGAAGCCCGGCAGGCCAACACCCAAAACCACCTAACAGATTCTGTCCTGGGACTGGGAAAGCCATCGGAACCCTTCATCAAGCCTAAACCCTCAACTCTCAAACCCAACACCTTAAACCCTTAACCCCTGAACCCTATATAGAATTCTTAATGATCCCTTTAAAGGAGCCCTTATGGAAACCCAAACCCTACACCATAAAGCCTCCACCCCGTCTCTTTTAAGTCAAGCGTCTCCACGGTCACCAAGCAGAGCAAATCCTCGTCCTAGGTTTCAGCAAAACGACGCTGGATGCAGAGGGACACCCACAGGGTTTAAGGGTTTGGGGATTTAGGGTTGCGCTTCCTTTTCGCTCACGATTGTTTCGAGACCCTAAGCACAGCCGGGCCAGGTAAACAAGAAGCTGCATTGGAGGAGAAGGATGCTATAGCAAGCACTTATGGTAGCCAAACGACGGCGCGGCATTTCAGGGTCTAAGGCCATGTGCCGTGTCAGGGCTTCGCGAGTTAAGTCTTGCAGTTTCGCAGACCCGGTGGCCGCTTCAGTGGCGGTATGTTTTTCCATGAGTCATACTATGTAATAGCGAACCCATAGTTTCGATTTAGATATAGGATATGAACCTCATGAACACTAGATTCAATACTTCAAGACCCAGAGTCTGGAATTGTTCTATATGTTCATATAATGATACGGGACATGATTCCCAAAGGCCTCCCGTCTTCGTGTGCCAAGGGTCCTGCTCGCCATTGCCCTGGCAGAGGAACCAGTTGTCTACCTGCGCAGTCACAGCTCACTGCCGAGTTCGGCGATTTGGGCTTTAATGGTTTAGCGGACAACAAGGCTTGGGGCTCGTCTTATGTAGGCGCCTAGATGATCCAATGGCGACATGGTTTCAGGTGTATAGTTTAGTACAATGTAGTTATTATGCAACAATTTCAATTATATATGTATATGTATATGCAAACACATATAGAGGGGCTGAGCACCGCACCAGACAACACATGTGGAAAAACGGACCTTCGGACTTTTCAGGGTTCAGGGACATTCGTAGGCGACACTCGGCAACAGAACACACTCCGGCAACAGAACTCTACAGGTGAAAACACCCGGGCCTTGAATTCCTAAGCCCTAAATTCTAAACCATTCTCAACCTACATCCCCTTAACCCTAATTCCCTAAACCTTTCAGACTTACAACCGAGATACGGAAGACCCAAAGCGAGAAATCCTAGAGGCCCCGTGACCCAGGTGTAGGCTTGTGGGTCGGTGTTCCCTCAAAAGTCCTCGATGGACCCTGAACAGCCTACCGAGACTTGTATACCGAAATCATAATAAGGAACCCTGAAACGGTAGGGGGTTTTTTGGGCTCAGAAATACAATATAGCTAATAGGCTGTGCTCCTAGGGGTGGGTCTCTAAAACGTTCGGCACGTCGAGGCCTTGATCTTCAAGGTCTTCTTGGCCCAAGGGAAGATCTTCCTTGCAGGAATCAGAGCCCCCAAACTCTACCCCAAATCCCAAATCCTAAACCCTACCATAAACCCTAAACCCTACCCTACATCCTAAATCCTAAAGCCTACACCCCACCCAAAATCCTGAGCCCTTAAAGGGACTTAGCCATTCTCCTATGGTTTGGCGAGAGGTCTTTGAGGGATGCGGCTTGTGCTCTCGAAACCGCAAAAAACCAAGTCATGCCTGTTTGATGACAGACAATAAAAGACATTGACAAGCTTGCTACCAGAGGGGCCAAATTACAGCATCACTGAACTAGTTACTGGCCCTCTGAACGCCTTGGATTGGAGCCTTCAAAACAGGGTAGGGCAACGTTGGAACACGAGACGATCTCGGAAACTGCGAAAGTGGTATGTGTATACGCCATGGAATTGATAAATTGACGGCTTGGGTCATGATCCAGAGAAGGCAAACCTCTGCGATCAGCTGCTTAGCTTTGCTCCTATCTCATGGCATCAATCTCTCTCTCTCTCTCTCTCTCTCTCTCTCTATATATATACAATAACTTGGGGTCTGCATCGAAGCTCTGGATACATGCTGAAATAACCTCAAGCTCTAGGACGAGGACAGTCTGCATCGGGCGTACAAACTGCAGGGAGTCCGAATACACATACGCTGCGCCCGCAGCTGCAGGAACTCGGGTTTGTAGCCCAGTCTCTGCATGATCCACGGCGCGTTGATCACCTGTGTCCAACACGTGAAACAGGTGCGCAGCATGTTACAACGTAATGCACATTGAAGCACCAAGCAGCTCACAAAACAAAAACGAAAGTCATGTAGGTCGAGAACGTATGAAGTAGACCGGCAATTTAGAGCTACCCTAAGCCCTAAACCCTGAATCTAGAAACTGAAAACATTCTGATCGCTGCCATGTAGCCCAGTTTCCGGCGGTAAGGTCTGGTACCAGCTTCCTTGTGCACCAGCTTGCAAGCAAGAAACTGAGTGCATGCATACATGCACACATACAAAGGTACGTACATACATACGTACATACATACATACATACATATCCATCCATCCATCCATCCATCCATCCATCCATCCCTCCGTCCACCCACCCACCCACCCACCCACCCATCCATCCATCCATCCATCCGTGCATAGGTACATGCACACATACACTTACACAAAAATACATGTAAATGTGTGTATATATATATATATACACAGATATTTACATTTTTATTTACGTAATTAAATATATATATATATATATATATATATATATATATATAATATATATATATATATAGATATGTGTATCTGCGTATAGGTCACTGTTCGGTAAATCATTTTCAGCACCAGTACCACGACCCAGCAAGTTACTTTTGGATAGCCAGGGTCTCGGGTTAGTTGCCGAGAAAAACGCACACTGCAAGAAGCTCTTAGCCTTGTCTCATGCAACATTTAAAAACGAGATGCTCAAGCTTGACCACAACGCATGAAACCCCGATCAAGTTTACGGCGAAGGCTTACGATCCCAAGCCCTAGATAGCATCAGCTCAACACTCAAGCGTGAAAGTTGTGCGCCCCGCCCGAAGAGCAGCCAATAGGCTCCAACCGCTGCATCATCTTCTCTGCTCGCCGGTCAAAGTCCCGGCAAATCACCTCAGCCGATTACCCAGCTTTTTTCCCTGTCGCATGGCAGGAAACGAAGTCCAAAGGCGAGGTTAGTTAGGGGCAGATCGACATCAAGGTCATGATCATTACCCAGCTTTAGGGTTTAGGGTTTTAAGGTTTAGGGATTGGTGCTATCTTGCATTCAGTATGTACGATCCAAAACCCGCAAAGTTGGACAACCAACCAAGGAACTACATCGGAAACTATTCGCAGGGATGGAGCCACAAGCCTTCGAGGAGTCTAAGGTTTTCCTAGGCTTGGGTGTCGGATCCCGCGGACCTTTTCAGACTTCTTGTGATAATTACCTATACGATTCCCAGACCTTCCAAAATCCTTTAATTAAGGAATACACCTTAATTCATATTAGGGATCCTATGAAAATTTAAAGTATACTCCTTAATTAAGGGATTTTGGAAGGTCTGGGTTATAAGAATCCTAATTATGGATCTCTTTAAAGGAACCCTTTACAAGAACCCTGTTATCGTCATCAAGGTCCCTATTTTAGAGCTCTTCTGCAACATGGCTGGCCTTGGACAAGGTGCACCCGGAGGCATCGATGACATTCACGACCTCGGGCATACGGTTGATGATATAAAACCTGTGGGGATTGTGAGTTTCTGAGCTCTGTAACCCTACCTGGGCCATAAATCCTGATCCCCAATTACTGTTTGACACTGATCCCTGCAAAACCTGAACTGAATACTTAAAGGACCAAGGGGCGGCTTAAATATCAGATCTTATGTGAGGTTGGCAAAATCTCACCTAAGATACGTGGTATTGCAATTATAACCAAAGACTTGAGGTAACTTACCCCAAGGCTCCTGGACCCTTGTAGTGAAATCCTTGACCCTAGCCCCCAGATCCGAAACCCTCCGCCAAAAGCCCAAGACCCTCTCAGGAGCCTTAGGGTCTCCAGGCACTCTCGTGGCTTGAGCCTGGCATCAAGTCGGAAGCCTGACCTGCTACGCCCAAACTCGAATGGGGGCTGACTAATTAACAATACCATTTCGGGGGGTCCTTATTCTAATTGTAGTATAATATACCCATTCTACTGAATAAGGCCCCTAGATCACTCCCTCTTGACTTCGGGCATGGGATAGGGTTGACCTGCTACAGAAAGATTCTTTTAATAGGGTAGGTTGAAAGCATGCATTGTCGCCCTAAACTTGTCACATGCACGAATTTCGGGGCCTGCACAGAGTCCAGAATTGTTGTGCACGGTCTGCTTTACCCAATACTGCTGGTTTCTTGTTGACAGACCCAAACCTCAACCTCAAACCACCCGCAATCCCTAACTCCAAATACCTTCATGCAGTCCACGGATTACGTATCAAGCCGTCCAAAACACTAACTATGCCAAACCTGAGCGTGCGCCTATAGCATCTCACACTGGCCGTAGGGAACCCTGCCTATACATCCCGAAGTAACCCCACCACACAAACCCTTTTGCAAATGGCTTGCAACATCACACCAAGACACATACAAAACCCTAAACCCTACCTACACAGCCCTAGACCCTGCCTATACATTCATAAACCCTACATACACAAATAAACCCTCAACTCCGAAGCCCCTTCAATACAGCCTACTTGGAGGCCCTTTTGACTTAGTAAGTAGGGTTAGTAAGGTGGGTTATGGGGATTATTTTAGGGTTTCTAGGGGATACTAAGCAGACTTACTAAGTCAAAAGGGCCTCCAAGTAACAACCCTAAACCCTTCACAGTCCAGAGCTGTGGCCCCGGCTCGACAAAGGCGTCCCTGCTGTCGGCTCATCCGATCCTCGAAACGCGTCTCGGGGTGAGGCCTGCCTTAATAATTAGACTAGGGCTTTGGGCTACTACAATCTACTATAGTTTTAATAGGGCACCCTAAGCTTTGTAGGGCTTGGGATAGGATTCAAGGTTCGGGGTTTTAGGGCTTAGATAAGCGTTTAGGCTTTGGGCTTTAGCTTTTCAGGTTGTGCCAGTTTCTAAAACCACCCGAAAAGTCCCTAGGCCCTAGACCTTCCTGGCTCAGGTTCTGGGTGTGTATGTGCCAACATGGGGCGTAGTGGTGGCTGGATTGGGTCTGGCATGCTGCAGAAACTGGTTTAGCAACCTAATATCCTGCTAAAATTAGCTGGCTACTTCTTCAAGCTGCACAAAGCCACATGCGCCCCAAAAAGCAACAATCCCCGGACAACTGGAATGCGCAGCTAACTGGAGACGTCCCGTTCTTGCATCATCGTTGCCATGGGCACTAACTCTTGCTGCTACCATCAAAGCCTTGAAGCAAACTGCTTGCAACGCCAGGCTCGAGCTCCACCGCTCGAAACAACCAGCCGTGAAGCACAACCAGCTCGTAGCCTTGGCGGCAGGTCTGTCGCCAAAACTTCTCACCGAGGCTTTATGCTGGTTCGGCCTTTCGAACCGTTGCGAACATTTTCAACCCGAAGTATTGCATCATCGTGCTTGCGAGCTCAGCCCTCAAGTATTCTCAAACCGACACGCAAACCTCATCCACAAACGGACGGGGATGACACGGCAGAATGAAGTCAGTTCAGCGAGCATAGGGTAAGCTGTGTTGCGCAGTGTGCATAGTTCGACCCTTTCCGTGCCAAAGATTTGGTGGCAACGGCGTATAGGCGGCATACAAGTGCACGGGGCATCGAACCCTAAAGCAACAAGGCTTCTGCATGTTAGTACAGCATGGCTTGCAGTCTCACCACCTGATGTCAAGACAAAGGCCCATGCGACACGGGTAACCAGAACCTGCTGATACTCGGCCCCATCGGTTCGAGCTACCGTCATCTAGGGTTCCCGCAAACAGACTTCAACAATGGTTCGCTTAGGGATTATAGGGTATGACTGCGCCTCCATCTGAGAACCCAGATCATTGAATAGCTTTCGATCAAGAAGTATGTAAGGAATCACAATAACAGTTGAAAGTAAACAGTTAACTCCCCAATTGCCGACAATCTGGTGTCCCTGTAAAGTTTTGCATAGTATTGCCCCATCACGGCACTCGACCATGCAGGTTGTCATCGGATCAGGCTCTTGAAATTCCTGCAGTTGGTTTGTCATAGGGTCAGCTTTTACGTACCTGCTTGTCGTGATCATGCTTCTATGGGCTTTCTGCTCCTTACAAGCTTTTTTGCTGTCTGTAAACTCCAGGCCCTACCCAAAGGCTCCATAGTAGTTTTTGGGATTACCTTATGGGATTCTATATATGAACCCCCAAAAGGAACTACTTTGGAGCCTGAGGGTATAGGCCCTTTTTGGTCCTAGAACCCGGGGCAGAAACAAAACCGTGCTGCACCGGTACCGGGCATCCCAAGTGTCAAAGGGGAAAAGGAGGGACCCTTAATGGGGACCCCTACCCTATAATGGGCTACATAATGGGTAGATAATAGCTATATGAAGGGTATGTACCTAGGGGTCCTTATTAAAGGAATCCTAAACCCTAGACCCTTTATAGAACCCTTTCTGATCCCTTAAATACCTAGGGGTCCTTGTGAAGGGTCCCCGCCTTTTACCCTTGGAAAGTGCAGCTAAGTATCGATCAAAAAGGCCGCGAGCTATGATCTGGTGCTTGTTAAGCTCACCTGGGATGTGGGTACTTGTCAAACTTATGGTCCCTTTGTGAGCACCCTAAATATTAGGTGCCGTACTATGTTAAGGACCCCAAAACGGGACCCTAATATTGACAACCACCCATGTAAGGTTTGTTTTTTTGTTGTTTTAAGCGCCTCTTTTCCTCCTTGCAGAGTGCATGTCGGAAATCACTACGGGGGAAGGCTGGTACAGGTTTAGGGCTTGGGGTTTAGGCTGTAGGAGTTTGGGGTTGCGGGTTGCGGCACTCGGAATGGTCAAAAAAGGGCCTAAACTCCACGGAGAACCTGGTCTTAAAACTGTTGAAGAACTCGACAACGCCGAAACAATAAACCGATAATACCTGCAGAACTATCCTCCTACAGAACACTTTAAGGGTCCCCTTAGGACTTCCTTTGAGGCTCTCTTTGAAGGTTCTTGAGATTCTTCTGGGGAGAAAGGATTTTTACACTGCTACTCGGCAGGGTTTCGGGAGATCAGGGTTTGGGAATTTCCGAAAATAGGGGACCCTAAAATAGTACCTTTATGCGGTACCATAAGGGTTCCCTTAAGGGATCTATAAGGGTTTAGGGTTTAAGAGGTCCATGTGGGAGTTTCCGAGAATAGGGGACCCTAATATAGCACCCCAAATAGTAGGAGGATCCTTATAAGGATCCCAAAATAAGGTACCAGCCCTAATTTTCGGAAACTCCCGTTTGGGTCTCCCCGACATACAGGCTCGTTCCGCCATAGCAGACAAAGTTTACCATTCCAGAACTCACGGCAGTTCAGTTCCCATTCGAATCGGTTGTGTACGCAAACCTAGGTGTTAATTAGAAAGCATAGTGCTCGGGGTGATTGATTTCAACCTTTTCTTCTCCCCGTCGCTTTGACAGGCATGAAGCCACACCATGCTGTCGACTTTGCTTGTACGGTCCCTTGACAGCGCAACTTTTCTTCATTCGATCTGGGACACCCACTCGAATCCCTTTTGCAACTGCCTTGCAACGTCCCGCCACTCGAATCCCTAAACCTCAAACTCCTAAACCAAAAACCAAAGCCTTAATCCCAAACCGTCAATCCCACAACCTGAGAAGAAGGCGCAAAGCCCGACTCGCCCAGCCACTGAGCGGGAAAAAACTGAGAGGATCGCCTGTCCTCAGCTCGTGGCACTTAGAGTCTCACTGGCCCAAAACCCAATGGCACAAAAGTTGAAACTTTCAGAATCGACTACCTTATACGAACCCCAAAAGTTGAAAAGTTGCGTTTCAGGCCAATGTGGATTCAGGTTTGAGGCCTTGAGAGCTCGGTGCTAGGGCTAGCAGTCCTCAGGGCTGACAGGGCTCAGGGTTTCGGGTGCGGTGCTTACGGTTGCTGATAGAAATCCTGCATTACCCATAATAAGGAATATACCATAATTCCCATACTTTAGGTTCCTTAGGGTAATGCAGGATATATATATATATATATATATATATATATATATATCATCAACCGTTATTGAGGGCTTCGACTCACTCTCGCACAAGACAGGCAATGCTTCACGACAAGACCCTAAACCCGCGGGGTTGACGTTTTCAAACCTTCGTGGTCGATGAGGCTCTACAGGTAATACAAACTTTTGGGATTTTGTGCCTAGCAATCATAGCCTGCATGTTCCCAGGTAGCTTGAATGTGCCACGGGAGGCTTGGCCATCATTACTGCACGAACCAGGAAAATCAACCCCCTTTTCCACAGGCTTGATTAGTGGTCGCCCGGCCAGAATCCCCAAACACATCTCACTGGTGGCGAGATGCTGAGGCTGAGTACGAAAATCAACCCCCTAAACCCTGAACCCTAAAACTCGAATCCCTCTCGAACCCAGACAAATCTCGCAATTGTGGGGCCTCCCTGCTTGTCGGGGATCCAGGGATTTGAGGCTGGGGTCGTATATAGGTTTCGTACCTCACACAAGCGGAAGGGAGTTAAAGCAAAGAGCAATACACTTTAATGTAAGACACGCCATAGATGAGGCTGAAGATAAGACAAGTCTTTCGCCGACTATCAAACCGTACATCCCGCAATCAACACCTGTGGTGTGCCGGATTTCCCTATCACCCTAAATATACAAAAAGCCTAAGCCTCTAAGAAGCCCCAAGCCCCCGTAAAGATGTTTGAAATTGTCCAGGATGCTTCAGGACCTCTAACTTCGAACTCCAAACTTTCGGGGCGTTGATGGGAGGCCTTAATATGAACCCTATTATGGGAACCCTAATCCCTACTAAACCCCAGAGGCTAACACCCCTTTTGGCCTCCTATGAGGTGTGTTCAAGTCATGGCTTCGGCTGTGAGAAGGCCTTAGCGGCTAGCGACCAGACCAGACTGTTAAGGGGCAATATGGGGGTTTCCAAGTACCTTTGGGTTCCTTTAAAGGGTTAATTAAAGGGTACTATAAGGGTTCCATGAAAGGGCTCTACAAGGGTTTAGAGTTTCCGAAGAATAGGGGTACCCTATTTTCGGAAACTATCATATGTACTCCTCGCAAACAAGGCACTTGGTCAACTGCTCGGCATTGTAGATGAGGGAGGAATAGCCTCCAATCGCCACAAGAAACCACTGTGGGAGAATCCTGACAGCCCTTTGCCCAACCTACTATCCTACTGTGACACGAAACCGTAAACCAGCATCCAAGGTTTACAGGGGGTACATCTAGGTTTGCTATAGGTCCTTTCATAAAATTGTTGAATTAGGGGTTTCTGAAGTCGATTTACGAGGTTTATAGCCTTATAGTCTTAGTTTCTGCTGGTTTTGGGCTTCGTTTGGGTTTAGGGTTTCAGGCTTCGGGCGTCCACTTGCTACGTTCATCTGCGTTCGGCTGGCATCGTCGACGGGGTCCACGGCTCCCAGTGTCTGCCCCGGTGTCTCCCTGATATAAAGCAAAGGGAGTCCCAGCACGAATCACTCTTGCCCCAGATTCTGGGGTCCATCAAAACGCAAAAAATCCAAAACCCTGGCACCAGTGAGATCTCTGCATAGAGACAAGCCACTTTTGATCTCGCTGTGGCCTGGAAGGTCGTCAGTGCATACCTCAGCTTGTCAGGCTGCCTGGCCAGGCAAAGCCATAAGCAAATTGAACCCCCCCCTCCTCCCTCAAAACCAAGCAAACCACGTTCTAAAGCTTATACCATGAGAAGCTGGAGCGCATTTCTCAGCGAGAAATCCAGAAGCGAGTCTTAGCGTTCTAGGGATTCTAGGGCTCATGGGGTTAGAAAGCTTGCAAAAATAAGGGCAAGGAGCTATCTAAGTGGAATTATTTGAGGCCAGTCTATCGACTAAACGAGCCGATCATGCAGATTTCGGTTGCAGCAGACTCTGTCTCAGTTAATTGAGTTGAGAGCCACAGCTACCGTATCTTCAGCAACCCCAGCACTCGCAACAGTTAGGGCTTGGGGTTTAGGGAGATCATTTCGAGGGAAGCTCGCGAAGGGAAGCCGAAGGAGACCTTCACCCTAGTTGTAGTCTCCATTGTAGTTCCTTTTTGGGGTTACCTTTTAGAATCCTTCATATATAGTTGGTTAACCCAAAAAGGGGAACTACAATGGAGACTATAGGTAGATTGTATAATGCTGAGCGGGCACCACCGACAGTTGGTTCTTGTTGACTTCGTTCAAGCGACTTTAGGGAAAGCAAGTTCGGTGCTCGACAAGGCGACCACCATTATAGAATCCTATGTTGGTAGCTTTCATTAATGAAGTTCCTGAACAATCACCCAGCAGCAATGAAGATAGCACCCATCGACCTTTAAGTTCAAATGACAATTGATGAGACGGGAATCGCATCACTGAGCAATAGGGTCGGTATGCTTCGACTCCAAATATGACTGTGCACTCTTCCCATCTGTCACCATGCCTCGTCCTCGCTATTCCAGAGTATCGACATACCAACTCCATGCCGCTTTTTTTGCAGTCTCGCCTTTTGAACGTGAATTGCGCTGGGTGTCCGTGGCTGGGCCATTCGGACCCGGCGGCTTATCGCTACACACCTGAACTTCGGACAGAGGACAGCTCTCATTGATCCGTGAGCTGCTTTGCGATACCGTGGGGCTTGGGGTTTCGGATTTTGAGTTCGGAGCTCAGGGCTTATGGCTGAGGTTGATTATTGGGAAAAGGTCCCACAGCCCTAGCTTGAATTCTTGAGCCTCGATGTCCCAAGCTCAGGCGGCATCCTAAGTACAGCGCTCAGGCTCATCCTCACCCTGCCTGTGCCTAGCCTGGGGCTGCGGATGGCCGGCCGGTGGCCCCTAGAGCCCGAGACGCTGTTTTGCACTGTTCAGTAATTACTAGCACAAGTCACCATAAGACTCTGAAGGTCTGCTCTGTATGATGAGCTCAGATTCCAGTAAGACTATGAGGCAAGCTGCGTTTCTTACAGTTTTTCCTTCGGCTCTCTTGTTGCTGCATGCCTCCCGTGGATGTTGCCCTGCAGTCATTGTCACTCCTAACCCCTAAAGTCTACAGGCCTAAAGCTCGAAATAAGCTCAATGCCTTGAACACTGTGGCCTTTGGGCTCCAAACAAAGACCTATACTTTCTTGCTAGATAGCTTGCTTGCTAGAGCCTTGGTGATACTTAGCCCTAAATCCTAGCGTCGACTCCCTGCTACAGGGATCTTTGCCCCCTAAACCCTAAACCCTACCCCCCCACGCATCAGGCTCCAGTCACTAGTCGTAGTCTTCGCCCAGCGGTGGAGCGTCATCTGCCACAGGCAAGATCACCACGCCGTTAGAAGGCTTGAACTCGGAGAGGCCTTCGTAGGTTTGTCTTTTGCTTACTCTGAGGCTGCAAGGATTCTGCATGCAAGCATTTGGGAGTTTCCGAATATAGGGGACTCGAATATAGTACCCCAAATAGTAGGATCCTTATTATAAGGACCCCCCAGCAAGGCACCCCTAATTTTCGGAAACTCCCATTTGGGGTCCAAGAAGCTATTTTGAGCGGATTAGAGCTTTGAGTTTCTACTGGTTTGTGGGGTCTAGATAGGATCTATGGTTGACAGATTTCAAGGTAGGGTTTAGTTTTTGTGGTTCATTGAATTTCCGTGGGGTGTGCTTAATGTTCAGGGTTGTCTTAAGAAGTCTAGGGTGAACTTACGAAAGAGCTGAAAGTTTCGAAAAAGTTTCCGTCGACTGAAGGTTACCAAGCTTGCGCCTTGTTTGTCTTGTACGCGGAAAGTGAAAGGCTGCTCCATGTCCAGCAGGGTGTTAAGCTGGTCGATCTTCTGACAGATCAGTTCCAACTCCTCCTCGCTGATAGCGCCACCCATGCGGCGGTTTTTCTGCACCTTGGCTGTTAGTTTGGAGCTTATGGTCATAGTATGGCTATATGTCCAGGGACCTGAAAGGCCTGAACAGGTGTGCGTTTGGTTCGGGGGTTTTCAATCGTGTTATGCGAATTGCAAGAATTGAAATTTCATGCGCACAGTTACTGAGCTGGCTGAGAGTTGCGAAAGATGAGGGAGGCCACGGTAGGAACGACACAAAAGCAACCGAGATAATACGAAACAAGACCAGTTCATGCAACCCGAAACAAAACAATCAATGCCCTTTCTAAACCCAATGCCAGTGTAAACACACAACTACTGACTGCTGGGTTAGCTCCTGCTCCCACAAACCCTGAACCCTGAACCCTCCACCGAGCTACGTGGTCGCCCAAATTGAAGACGGCAGAAGCGATCATGTTGTAGACGGTGTCGACACATCGTCGGTTCTTCGGCTGAAACAAGAACTCGATCTCCGGGATCTCGACCTGTCCAGGGCGCTAGGGCGTATGGCCCAAAGGAGTGTAGGGCCTGTAGAAATTTATATCTACACGGTTGAACATGTTGAAAAGTGCAGATTTTGGAGTTTAGTCTTCCGAACCCCAGCCCTGAACCAAAAATTCCAAAGACCCCAAACCCCCAAAACCTCCAAAGCTTAGACCCTAAGTCCTAAACCCTCTCTCTCTCTCTCTCTCTCTCTCTCTCCCAGGCATTCGGTACGTCCTAAACCCTAAACCCCGAAACCCCTAAACCCTAAATCCCTTAAGCGCACCAAAACCCTAAACCCCTAAACCCCTAAATCGCCACCTGTGCCCGAGGCCCGAGCAGCACCACCCGCCAGAGGTCCTCGCGCTCGGAGACCGTGAAAGTGAGGGACTGGCCCATGCCCGGCCGGAGATCATCCTATGGGGTTTGGGGTTTGGGTTTTAGGGAGTTTCGGGTTTGGGTGTCGGCAGGGTTTAGGGTTTAGCCGGAAATGATCCTAGTAACGGGGTTTACGGTTGAGGGCCTATTCCCCGGAGATCATCCTAGTCAGGGTTTCGGTGCTCACACTCGGACAATCCAGGCGAGGCATGTGGTTCGAGGTCTGTTGAGTGAGACTGCGGGTTGAGGGTTTGGGCCGGAGATCATCCTAGTAACGGGGTTCAGGGTTGAGGGTTTAGGCCGGAGATCATCCTAGTAGTAATGGGGTTCAGGGCTCTTGCTTTAGGTAGGGTTTAGGGTTTAGGGCTTAGGGTCTTTTATAGATAGGGTTAGGGGTCCTAATAAGGGCTTTTACCTTTTGGGTTCTGCGGGTTTTAGACGGACTATACACGGGTTTGGTGTACGGAAGGCGTTTAGAAGGGTGTCGGGGTTAAGGCGGTGCTTCAAGCCCAAGCCCTCTAGGGTCTCAGACACTTCTTCAACACTTTCTGTAAACTTTGGAGGGTTTGAAGTGGCGTGCATTGAAAAGTCAGGAGGTTCATCCAGAAACCCTTATCCCCAAGCCCCATGACTGTCTGCAGGGTTCTCTAGCGCCTCAGCGCTTCCTGATAGCTTACCCAGTCCCTATCCTTGGAGCAGGATTTAGCGAGCCGGGGATTGGGCTTCGGCTGTTGGATTGGGTTATGTCGGACTAAAGGCAACTCGAGGATTAGGGTTAATGTTTGGGGTGCGGAACTATCCGAAAGGTGGACCCCAAAAGTATGTAGAATAATCGCCTTTTAGAGGAGTTGGGCCATTATTTTAACTACTTTTGGGGGTTTAGGTAGGCGGTCTAAACCCTAAACCCTAAACCCTGGGGTTTAGGTAGGCGGTCGTTGGTCCTCCTTTGGCACCGGCCTCATGACAACGCGGATCTCTTCACCAACTTCCTCGGGCACTGTTGCTACTGGGTTTAGGGTTTAGGGGTTCATTTTTTGTCACCCACGTGAGTTCATGGTTGGGATAGGATTTATTTTCTTATTTGTTATTCCTTATTGGGTTTAAGTACCCATAAACATGTAACATGTTACCCAACTATGACAAAGGATTATTGGCAGTGCAAAGGCCTTTGTGTTCATGAGGACATAAAATACGCAAAGATAAATACACTGTAGCAGTTTGCTTACCACAACGACGAAGAAGTGAATGTAATAGAGAAAGAAATAGGCAATCTTATAAATACATCACCCTTCAACACAGATTGTCAGCGAGACACTCAAAGCGAAACTAAAACCCGCAAACCCTATTCCAAAAGCTGATTTCAACAGTCTCCAAAATCATTTATGATGAGGGCTCTAAAGTAAACAAAAAGGGAAATTAGCCCCATACATGCTAATTAAAACCCTAAACCGAAATCAAGACTGTAGTGCTGTATAATGGACGAACCTGATTAAGAAACCTTGGGCCTTTATTAAGGTTCCTTACAGGGATCCTAATACTTTTGGGGTTATAGAACCAGGGTTTCTTAATCCGGTGCCTACACCATTGTAGTAGCCTTATTATAGATCCCTTATAGGAACCCTTATGGACCCCTTTAAAGGAACCCTAAGGTAAGGCCCAAAGGATCCTAGGTACTGTTATGGGGGATACTTCCCTAAATCATAATAGTAATTCCTACATTCTACTATAAAGATACTTTGGACCCTTTGGGAAGTTCCTACTTAAAGGATCATGGGACTTAGTAAGTGGGGTTATAAATAAGGTAACTATACATGTAACTACTTATAACGCCAATTGAAGCACTTATAACCCCACTTACTAAGTCTCATGATCCTTCAAGTACATCATCAACTTTAACCGAGGATCCTCGGCACCCTCGGCAGGCCACCGCACCTCAAAATGCGGTAGCGCAGCCAGGAAGTCGAGCAACGGGCCCCCCAAGGCCTGCGTTTAGGGTTTAGGGTTTAAGGGTTTAAGTGTTTAAGGGTTTAGGGGTTTAAGGGTTAAGGGTTAAGGGTTTAGGGGTTTAGGGGTTTAAGGGTTTAAGGGTTTAGGGTTTAGGGTTTAAGGGTTTAGGGTTTAGGGGTTTAGGGTTTAGGGTAGGATCTAAGTTGCTGAGTTCATAAGCCCACCAAAAGCGTACACTGAAAGTATCATCGTGGGTCATATTATCCCAAAATTAGTGTGAAGTGTATCCACTCAGCTACTAAGGGATGGTTTCTAGACTCCCTTTTTTGAGCGTCCTGCTTAAGGATTCTACTCGTATGGGTTGTAGGAGTCAGGCTTACTAGAAACGGTTTCTGTTGAACTTCATTGGATTTTGTAAGGTCTTGCAGGCTCGTTCAAGTTCTTGTTTAGAACCCTTAATCAGGGTTAAGTTTTAATGGTCCTGCAAAAGAATTGGGAAATACGGGGTTCCAACCCAAACCCGACACCCGAAGCAATAAACCCTATACCCCACACCCTGAACCCAAAACTCTGCACCATAAGCCCCACACCCCCAACCCCCAAAACCCTAATGTAGGAACCTGATTAAGACACCCTGTCCCTATAATCCCCAAATAGTAGGGCTCATAAAGAGGAGCCCTAATAAAGACCCAGGGTTTCTTAATCAGGTTCTAAACCCCACCCCGCTCGCCCCCCCAACCCCAAACCTTACTTTAAGTGTTTCGCAAACCCGTGGCCACCCTTGGCCTCCTCCAGCTCGTCCTCGTCCTTTCGGGGGCGCTGTGTTCTTTACCCTGGTAGTGGAAGGATTTGGGGTTTAGGGTTTGGGGGGTTTAGGGAGTTTGGGGTTTGGGTTTAGGGTTTTAGGGCTTAGGGGTTTAACAATTTAGGGCTTTCGGGGTTTAGGGTTTAGGTTTCAGGACCCTTGTAAAATCCAGAAGGGTCCAGTCCAGCAGCATGGGCGTAGAGTTTAGGGCCCAAAAAAGCACATAAGCAAAAATGAGGATCGGGATATCCCATTGAAACCCCCTTATAATGAAGCCCAATAAGGTAGGGATATCCCAATAAATTGCTTATGCTTATGTGCTTTTCGGGACCCCAGAGTCTCGTCTGGCTACATAGGTTTGAAAAGGGCGTTAAAGGGTTCGGGGCTCTTGGGCTTGAGGTTCTTCGCCCTCGCCCTCTGCCTCGTATTCCGACCAGTCACCTCAACTGTAGGATATACTTAGGCTTTTGAAGGGGCTCCTAAAGGAGGTGCTTTAGCGCTGAAGCACACATACTTTTCATGTATACTTTATGGATCCTCCAAGGAGGCCTATACTGGGCTTGAAACATATACGTTGTATACTTTATAGCCACCTGGAGCCCTACTTGGAGGATCATGAGACTTAGCAAGTTGGGTTATAAATAAGGTATCTCTACCTATCACTACTCGTAACCTCAATTGGGCACTTAAAACCTTACTTGCTAAGTCGCATGATCCTCCAAGTACACCCCCAAACCTACACCCTATAGATCCCTATAAGGAACCCTATAAATTCCCATCAGGAACCCCATAGATCCCTATAAGGAACCCTATAGATCTCTTTAAGGAACCCTATCCCAAGTACTTAGAGGGTCATCGGACTTAGTAGGTAAGGTTATAAGTATTGGGGTTATAAGTGTATAATAAGAAAAGTATAGTTACCTTCATTTATAACCTTACTAAGTCCCATGATCCTCGAAGTAGGGAGGGCAAGGGCTGAGGTCTTTCAGAGGGCTTTCTCCGCCGCGCTCCTCGTAGCCAAGGCTGACGCAGAGGTTGTAGGCGATGGCGGGCAAGGCAACGGCATAGTCTTCTCTGATCCCAGCATGGATGGCCTGATTTAGGGTTTAGGGTTTTAGGGTTTTAGGGTTTTAGGGTATATAGGGTTTTTAGGGTTTTAGCAATTTGGGGTTTTAGGGTTTATAGGGTTTAGGGTTTCAGGTTCCCAGCATGGATGGCCTGAAAGATGTCTTCCAGCTCGTTCACAAACTGAGCCATCTCCTGTTGCTAAACCTTAAACCCTGAACCCTGAACTCTGCAACTTCGGAAACTGGCCAAAACCTCTAGCACCGGCTAGACCCGCAACCCTGAACCCTAAAACATGGCAAAACCCGAAAGCCCTAAAGCTGGCCCGAAACCCTAAACCCCTATAAAAACCCTAACCCTAAGGCTCTAAGGACTCATATTTTAAGGCTTTTGGGCCTAAAGACCATACTATATAAGGCTTTTGGGCCATTTTGAGCCTTAGGGTAAGCTAAGCCAGCTCCTGGTGCGACATGTCGATGTGGAAACGCTCCTTTCCGGGCTCCGGACCCGGACTTTCTTGTTTGCAAAGTGGGCAGGAGGCTTTGCGAAGAAGCCACTCGGAGACCTAGGTGTCCATGTTCAACACCCATCAACACAAAATTCTGGTCAATACGGCTCATGGAACAGTTCGGGTTCTATAAACCATCAAGAAAAAGAACTTCAAACTTATCATCCCTCAAACCGAAACCCAAATTCCCCAAATGCTGAATCATTATCTCAACTCCCTAAACCGTTATCCCAAATCCCCAACACCCGAAATATCCCAAATCGATACCCAGAGGCGCAAGCGTGGTGGAAGCGGTGACCGCAAGACAGCTTCTGCAGCTCGCAGGACTCCAGCATGGGTTGAAAGCAGATGGCACAATCCTCCAGGGCCAACCTCTCTCTCTCTCTCTCTCCCTCCCTCGCTCTATGTGTATATATACATAAATACATGCGTATACGTATGCAGTGTGTGTGTGTGTATATATATATATATACCTATATGAAATTACACACATACGTCGTAAAGGTTGCTACTCCGGGATCCATAAAAATCTCCGAAGAACTATATATTATCAGGGATGCTAGCCCGGGACCTATGTATTTCAATAATCGGTGCAAGGAAACGGGGGCCCCAGATTATGCTTACGGCATGCTTGCACCCCTATACCATAGACCCCTACTAAAGATCCCTTATAGACCCCTTGAAAAGGAACCCTTTAAAGGAACCGTAGTCTAACTACGCAGGCTTATTAGAAGGAGCTCTTAAGGGTCCTGCGCTTCCTCCGGCGATGCCTGCAGCGTGGCAACCAGAGGCGCTGCTTGGGCCATGGCGTCAGCCATCTTCGGGGTCACCCTAAACCCTTAACCCTAAACCTCCGGAGAGAGCTCACCCAAACTCCTGGGAGGATCCCAACAAAGAGATCCCTGAAGAAAGTTCGATATATATTGCCTCTGAAACATAGTTTAGGGTCCCTAATGGGGGGCTGTACTTTCTAGATCCTTCCGGGACCCTGAGCACGAGTCTTGCCCAAGCCAAGCTCTGCGGCTACTGACCTTGAGAGCGCACTGAAAATGTCTCCGCAGGGTTCATGTCCAGTAACAGATCAGACTCGACCCACACCCGACGACCCCTCACTTGCCTCGATTTCTTAGTAGTGTAGACCTGGACCTTCTAAAACAGATCTGTTAAGGTGGGTTATAATTAGGGGTTGTAAGGGGCATTAGGTTGTCTAACGTGGCAGGAACACAGGATTGCATGTTTAGTGTGTATACGCATGGCATGGTGACCAGGCGCAGTAACTTAAGGAGTAATGTAGGAACTTGATTCACCAACCCTGGGTCTTTGTTAAAGTTCTTTCTATGAGTGTTACAAAGATGGGCTTTTGGGGCCAAGGTTTCTTAATCAGGTTCCTACAGTATCCCTTGGCGAATAGGTACTTAGTTGCTGAGTTCATAAGCCCCCAAACATGTACACTTCAGTTTTATTGTGGGTAATATTATCCCAAAAAAGTGTAAAGTGTATCCACTCAGCTACTGAGGGTATTCAGCTCTCTGGCAGGAAGCCAAGAAACTAGACGTCCCTGAGCTTGGATCTCATCCAGTTTGGCAATCAGTCCTGGCATGACCTCGCAAGGAAGCCGTTAGTTACAGGGTTTGGGGGGTTAGGGTTTAGGCGTGGGGCACCAAGTTGAAATGTTTGTGTGACAACGAAGGTACTCCTGCTTTAGGGGTCTCGGGTCGGGCTTGCAACGGCCTCAATAATTGGAATAGTGTTTTGGGGCCCATTATACTCTAATTCGAAATAGGAACCCACCGAAATAGTATTGGTAATTTAGTACTTATTCAGGCTCCTACGTTACACTCTTGTGGTTCAGAAGTTAAGCCTTTCGGGTCTTAAGAGCTTTCCCCCTCACCTGGCTGGGGATCTATAGTTTAAGGCTTTAAGGTTTGAGGGCTGGGGTTAAAGGATTGCATGTTTAGTGGCTTAAGGGTTGCTTGTTGGGATATAGGGTCTTGAGAGCTTTAGCGCTTTAGGGCTTCTAGGGCCAACCTGTCAAACCTTGAAACGTGAAAACAACAGTACCTCAGGTACTGCCCCCTTACACTAAGAGTCTGTAATAGGGCTACTATTAAGGTCATAATATATCTATATTATGAATATTTTCAACTATTACTGAGTGGGGGCCGTACCCAAACAGTACCCTTGTGGTAGCCTCAAAAGCGCCCAAAACCTACCAGGTCTTTGGGAGTTCTTGTTAAGGGAACTTAATTTAAATGACCCTCATTTAGGGTTCCTTTAAAGGTTCTAGAAGGGTTTAGAAGTTTAGGGCTTAAGGAATTCAAACTCAGTTACCATAATCGGGATCTAAAACAATCCTGTTGTCTGCATTATGGTAACTGAATTTCCATTTCTTAATGAGAACCCAGCTTCTCGAGCTGCCTCGTCACCACGGAGCTCTGCGAAAATCTCGAGGAAATTTTCGAGCCACGTGGCAGATGCCTGGAGGGCTTCGCTGCTTCCCTGGAGGCTCCCTAAGGAGTTCCCTACGTTGTAAGGGTTTATGGGAAGGTTTACTGTAGGGTTTTGGGATGTTTGCTGGGGCACCAGATGCATGCAGACACTCAGGAAACTGCCTGCAGGAATCAATCATGTCATACCGTATACGCTGGAGCACACACATGCACAGAGATTATCTATATATATATATATATATATACATATATACACATAGTTTAGGGTTTGGCGTTATTCTCTAAAAAGGGTCCCCTTTTGGTGTTATTTTTTATAAAGGGGTGCGGTGATATTTTGGTGGCCGAAAAAGGAGCCCTTTAATTTAGGTAAGGTTTATAGCCATGGTATATCGGCAGTCCCGAGCCCAAATGCAAGCCGGTGCTGCACAACCTCAAACCTACAACAGCTTCTGAAACGCACCGACAGCCCGAAGCCCAAGCAACAAAAAACACCTAACACCCACCCAAGCCAAAAACCTGCAACACGGCCGCCTCGAAGTCATTCTTGTTCCTCGGGTTCAGATCTTATGGGTCTATGGGGTTCTGGCTCGCTATGCAGGGTCTTCGGTTTTGGTCACGGTGGTTGTCTTGCCTAGTTTGCCTTGGTTCTACGGCTTCGCATTTCTTCGGGGGGGTGTATGAGCCGGACCCCCGTCCCCCAAGTAACCCTTTTTTTTCCGTCCGGGCTTGGGCAGTCGGCCGGGGAGTGACAGGCAACAGCAGCATCGCGCCAAGCTGCAGCACTACTGGCTACAGTTCAATGTAACCCTTTTTGCCACTGGACTACATTGAACCCTAAACCCCGAACCCTAAACTGCTAAAGCGCTCGCACATTCGAGGGCTCAAGGCCTCACAGCTTCTGGATGGATATATGAAACCCTGCAAGCAAACCTGAAAAGCACTGAAAAAAACACTGCCGACGTAAACCAAAAAAACAAGGCCCTCCAGCATCAGCACGGCTCAAGTCCGAGCAGCTGCCGAAGGATGCGTGTCAAGGCCAGTTCTCCAAAAAGCGCCGGGTAAAGTCGCCCTGCGCGTTTTGGGGCTTAGGGCTTAATAAATTGTAGCGTTTCCAGGGTTTAGGGCTCGGGGGGGACTTCTAGGAATTACAAGGCTTCCCTACTTTTTTTTTAAAGCTGAACTGCACCCTTTCTCCGAAAAAGCGCTGGCATTTTGCCCTCAACTGAGTGAAACATCCTCCGAACTCGTAGTCGTCGTAGTTAGGGTGTAGGGCTTCGGGCTTTCAGGGTTCAAGGTCTTGTATAGAGTGTGCAGGGGATGTAAGGCTCATAGGGCCTAGGGCCTAGACGCGTAGTGGTGCGTGCGGGTTGTATACGGTTCCCAAAGCTTGAGCTTGCAGGAAGATCCTTCAAGGAGGAGTGATGCTTAGCTTTTCAAGGACATGCGAGAGCCCAAACCCAAGACCCTGATAGGAGGAACTTTTTCAACACTGTGCAAAAACCACAAGACCCACCCTAACCAAGAATAGCCCAATTGCCCGTAACTACCAACCCACCGAAACATGCCGGGAAATAGTACTAAGGCTCCGGAATATAGATATACTAATAATAGGCTTATGGTATATTCCTTAATTACGCAAGGGGTGCCGGGTGCTGGCCTCGCTAGGAACCTTCAATCAGACCAAGGCTCACAAAGGCTCCCTGAAAATTCAGGGATGTTCCTTGTTTTGGAGCTTACGATCCTCAGAAGAAAGTTAAAACCAGCCTCCAAAAGACTTGAAAGGAAATTACAGACCAAAACGGGGTATGCTGGTCTCTCTGGACATCCAAAAGCCTGTTTTAACATTCAAACCCGCAAATCCTCCAAAAGAGCTGCAGACCCACTCAAAAGCCCTGCATGTGTCTTATGATGCCAGTGTAGAATGCACGAGCACATGGCTGTTCACTACCCTACGAAACGAAAACAAAGTCCTAAACCCTAAACTCTTTCCAAGGAAACCTTTCAAAACAACACCGTCCTCTTTGCTCACGCTCGGAGAAGGCGTTGGCAAAGCGCTGCTGCAAGCGCCCGATGATCTCCTTAGATGTATTTCTTTTGTTGAAGGCTTTTCCCACTTGCGTACCTTAGGTGTCGTTTGGGGTGCGGGGTTGAAGGCTTTGGATGTGTTTGTTTGTTTGCTTTTTGTGGTCCTGTGACTGTGGGTATATCATTCCTGTGTGTGCGTGTTTGCTTGTTTGTTTGTGTGCTTGTTGATTCTTGCTTAGTGCTTGCTTGCGTGTTTCTTTGTTTGTTTTGTTGTTTGTTCGTGGGTGTGTGTGCTTTTGGCTGTTTTCTTGTCGTGAGTACAGGGTTGGCAGCGGCTTTCCTGGTAGGGTTGAGGGTACTTGGAGGCTCTTTTGACTTAGTAAGTCTACTTAGTATCCCCTATAAACCCTGTTATAATCCCCATAACCCAGCTTACTAACCCTACTAAGTCAAAAGGGCCTCCAAGTATGGGCCTTGAAAAACAGCAACGCCCCCGCGTTCGTGAACCCAGAGTCCCTTCAGCCTTACGGTTTAGGGTTTAGGGTTTAGGGTTTAGGGACTTCGGTTCAAGCCTTCTTTGTTGTTTTTTTCGAGGGGCCAGCTCTTCCGCATTCGGAAGGGAATCTGACGTCACCGGCATGCTTCATCCATCAAAAGCAGAAGGATAAGGCCAGCTACTTGTTGCTTGCTTGCTTGTTTTTTGGGCAGTGGGTTTGAAGAGGGTGTGCTAACTGGGCCGTGCGTAGTTATGGACTGTAGAGTGGGAGCGATAGCTAACGATTCAAGCCTCGATATTATACATACCCACTGCAAAGGCCATTGAACAGCAGCCGCAGTTGACTTTGGACTCTCTGGCAGCAAGTCTGCAATCCAAGGTACTACAGCGGCCATAATGTTTACAATACGATTCTTGGGTATACTGAGTTCTGTTGCACGCTGTCTATACTAGGATAGCATGAGCTACTTACTTATTTAGGCTGTATTCAGGATTCAGCTGCGAAACACAAGTCTCTCTGTCCTGAGCCGTTTAAGGTTTAGAGTTTAGGGTTTAGGGTTTCCGATCACTCTCGAGGGTACAAAGTTTAGGAATCTTTGCTGTGAAGGCGTGGCTGACTGGGGATGTCGGATAAAAGGAGTTTGACGGCGGGAGATGGCTGAGAAGAGAGTTACTTACTACAGGGGCCTCAATAATTTCTAATACTATTTTGGGGGGTCCCCTATTGTAATTATTGCCTATAGTGAGCCCCCAAACCCGATTCTATTCACAAGGTTTTATTTGAGAGCCTCCGTCTAGGGTTGAAGTTAGGGAGGTCTTTTATTTGAGAGCCTCTTTCTATGAAGTTCGGGAGGCTAAAGGGGTCAGTTTTGAAGTTAGGAAGTTAGGGAGGTTTCAGCACTCACACTCGGACAAGCCTGGGCAGGGAGGGTTCAGGGGTCTGGCTTTTCTTTGGGTTGGGACCCGTTTAGCTCCTGCACGAAGCGAGGCAAAGGGGTTCAGGGCTAGGGCTGCACAAGGTCCTCTGTGGATCGATGAAGGGCCGCGAGGATTTAGCTTGGGTACCTCGCTTTAGCATGCATCGCACACCCACAGTACAGGCGCCTCCGCTACCCAGTAGCTTAGGGTTGACAAAGAGAAAGCAAAAAGCAACTCGTCCCCAAGCTGTCCTAAACTTTAGGCGGTAACCCCCCCCCCCCCCCCCCCCACACGGTATCCCTTTCTGAAACCTTAGCACTAATCTCCGAACGACTCTAGATGCCTGGTCCCTACAGCCTGTGTTGGAACAGCTCCACTATGCTTCTGGTACACGAACTTGTGTGAGGTATCTCTATGCTCATAGGGCTGCTTGCTACAACAATGAACACAGCCGTAGTCCTGAATCCTCAAACCTTCAGCCCCCGATCCTAGGCAAAAGCCACTCTTGACTACGAAGGAAACTAGTCTACTTGGAGGCCCAGGGGACTTAGTTAGTAGGTTATAAGTAGGGTCATAAGTACCTTAAATGGAGTTACCCAAATTATAACCCTACTTAGAACCTACTTACACGGTCCCCTGGGCCTCCAAGTAGGGCCCGGCATCCTTCGATTCGGGGTTCGAGGGGTTCGATACTGTAACTGACTGGAACTAAGTTGCTGAGTTCATAAGCCCCCAAGAAGTGTACACGTTTAGCATCATAGCGTGTATTTTTTCCCAAAAAGTGTACAGTGTATCCACTCAGCTACTAAGGGAACTCTAGTAGGCCCAGGGAATAGTATCACAGAATCGGTGTTGAGGCTCCTATGTTAAGGTGTTCAGGCTCCTATGTTAAATCTGGTTGCTCGACCCAGCAACTACATAACAAGCCTTCCCTCGTGGTCTCGTGTTCTTTGGCTCGGGCTCGGGCTTTTGGCATAAGGATGTAAGGTCTCAGAGGGTCTTTTTGCCTAGCACATCCTTTGGCCCTATTGATTGAGGGTCAATGGCTTAGGGCTAGAGCGATGTAAGGGTTGCGCAATCAAGGCGTCAGCATTTTGCGCAATCGACCCCGAAGAAAGTTGTTCTTGTTCCACACCCGGGAATGGTATTTACAGTACAAGTGTGGCTGGGCCTGGAGGTCCTGTCATACTACAGCTCAAGGACTACTACGGCTCGCAACCACCAGAATGTGCATCATTCCTACTCGTTCCTGTTACACTCCACTCTGTTCATGTATGTACTTCTCAGCAGTGCTTGCCTGTGTTGCTTTAACCCTCAGCCAAGCTGGTGGCATGTAGGCGCTGGAGATCCGCGCATCCGGGCCTATGCCAGCAGGTCAAAACAACAGTAAACTTCCCTAGGATGCCCGGTCACCTAGGAATAAAAAGGGCTCCCTTTTTAGCATTGGGTAACTTTAATTATAAGGAACCTAGGACTACAAAAAGGGAATAAGGGTACTACTGGGCATCCTAGTTCCTGAAAGGTTTATGCAAGAGTTCCTGTCAGGGCTTGGGTTTACGGGTTTGGGTGTTGACGCTCGCAGAACTCGGACTGGGGCCTGTTGGGGGTTTAGGAAGGTTCAGCGAAGAGTCATGAGCCCAACACCCTGACGATTGATATGATATGCCCCTGAGAATGCCGAGAAAACAACAACAAACAGACTTGGTGGACGAATTCGGGTTTCAGCACTCACACTCGGACGAACCACGACGAATTCGGGTTTCGGGTTCAGGGCTTAAAGGGTTTAGGTAGCATGACCTTCCAGTCTATTGTGGGGCACATCTTTCTGAGCTTCCCGTTCTGCCAGCCAGAACCTTAACCTTAAACCCTAAAGCAGATTCCCCTAAGAGTCCAGACGACCAACAATAGTTACATGCTTGGGCTACGGATAGTCGATTGTAGCTTAGCATTCGGGAGAGCACAAGATTCTTAGGTACTTGGGCACTTGATCCCGTATCCCCGTAAGGGTCAAAATAGGACGAGCCTTGTGCAGAATGGTCTTGGGGCCCAAAAGGCTTTGCGTATGAGTCCTAGGGCCTGCGAGTATATGATCATTGACAGTGCGCTATAGGGGCCTTAACAATTAGAATAAGGTCTCGGGTCCTTCATAGTATGTTTCTTGAAAGGAATCCTATATGCGGAATAATCTTGGAAATCATCTAGACTTGTATCTTGACAAGCCGATGATGACAGCCACTAGGCCATCGGCCTATCGAGGTATGGACCAAAAGCACACATAACTTGTACCCGGCTAACGGTTGGGGTCTTGCGTTTGAGAGTTTACCCGAACCCCGAAGAGTAGGTCAAATAATAGCCCAGGACCCATGAAAAGGCTAGAGTTCCACATTGACATGCTTTAGGGGTCCAGGTGGCCAACTCGAGTTAAACAATGACTAAGACTAGCAGAAGGTTCAAACTTTAAACAACCGCAAGTAAGTAGCAATCAGAACATACACTAGGCTGCTCAGTAACCCACTGGGAAAAAGTATATACCTTTTTTAGGCTTCTTTTTTGATAAAAGGAAACCAGAAATCTGAAAGTAAAAAGTGTATATACACTGAACAGCCCGGTACAAGTGAATCCAAAACTAAGCCCAAGCCCTTCCAGGGAGTCGTGCTCGAGGACCGATCACGCCCCGAGGTGCCGTAGGTGACCTTGACTGCTTACTTCATGCTTTGACAAGACTTTCTTCCTGCACTACTTGTGCTCCCTTACAGTACAGACTGTACAGATAATGAATGCTGTACAGCGATCTCAGAATTTAGGTTCAGGGTACTATGCCCGGATGTTAGGGCTACGCAGGTTGTGGCAAGCGTCGCGGCTTTGCGCTTGATGTCGTGTGTTTCGGTCTCAGGTGCTTCGGGGGTAATTACAATTGAACCCTTTTTTCCCTCGAGCTGAATCCTAAACTCTACGCCTATGTCTTAATATACCTGAACAGGTGTACAGGGTTTAGGCACTCCTATATTGAAAGTCTATGTTGGCTCCCACAGGCCCAACCATCAAGTCCTGATTATAACCAGGCCGAAAGCTCAACTTTGTAAGACAGAGCAAATGTGTGAGGCCAGGAAGTTGAAAGTTTCGCTTGCCTATCCGAGTTAGAGATGAAGCCTGAGAGTTGAAAGGCCGCAGAAAGGTCACCCAGAGAGCCCAACACCCCTTAATTAAGGAATATGGCTTCACTATGCTTCACTTATAAGAGGCTTCATAGAAATGATTTAAGCTATATCCATTAATTAAGGGGTATGGAGCTCTCTGGGCAGAAGTGCCATGTGATGAAAAGCTGAGCTTTCGGATCTTGTCATTTGTTTTCGGAGCTTGGAGGCTTCAGGCCCTTGTGTTTCTTGCGCACTTCGGACGAAGTGTCGATTTGTAGCTTCGTGTTGTAGATGTGCTGCTCCGCATCATAACCAGTCATAGTCAATGCCATGTACATATTCAGTACATGCGCAGCATCGTCGCAGGCACCAGTCCAACCAAAACCCGAATCCCAAGGCAGCCCCCAAAACGCACATAACTCATGACGAGAAAAACTTGAACCAGTACATAAACCTTTACATCAACCCTAAAGGGAACTCCAGAAAGTTGGAATATGGTTTCAGGGTAGGATACCCTATAATTTACAATAAATAATAAAGGGTTTAGGATAATCATATTCCAACTTTCTGGCTTTTACTATACTGGAATCTATACCCGGAACCCGGTCTCAGGGCTCCGGCAGTGCGAGCTCCGGTTCCACCAGTGTGGAGACCTGGCCATGCAGGCCGCGAAGACAGGAAACCCCGGGGAAGCAGCAACTCAAAACCCTACGAGCCCCGGAGCTCAACCCCTAAACCCGAAACCCCTAAACCCCAACTTTTCCTAAAATCTATACCCTATGAAACTTCAATTCAAATCTACCCTGAAGGCCGAATGCCTCGAAATCTAAAGCCCCACAGAGCGAATACCTCGGTACCTTCTTCAATCCCTTACGGCCCCTGTATACTCTTGGCACTTATGCATCCCGAAACCATTTCTAGGCCCCTATGCTAATCTAAGCCTAACAAAACCCTATTTCAAAATACCCTCACAGTACACCCGAACCCGAGATCCTTCCGAACCCGAAACCGCAAACCGTAAACCCTGAAACCTATACTCAACCCGGAATACCGAACAAACCAAACCATGCAACAACCTTGAAACCCAAAAGCCTAAACCGCCTAAACCCCTCAAACCCCTAAACCCTAACCCTTAAACTCCTAAACCCCTAAACCCTAACCCCTAAACTCCTAAACCCCATAAAGTCTAAACCCCTAAATCCCATAACCCCTAAACTCCTAAACTCTAAACCCCTAAACTCCTAAACTCTAAACCCCTAAACCCCCTAAACTCCTAAACCTTATGCTAGACCCAAGAGTAACCTAGGAAGAAAAAGGGTGCCCTTTTTGGTTTAATGGGTGTTATAAGGGAACCTAAACCCTTAAAAAGGGAATAAGGGCCTACTCTGGGTCCTAGTATGAAACTTCGACCCGGGGGGCGCCTTGAGGGGTCGGACTTGGGCTCGGGGTCGATCCTCGGTACCTCCGGAAGTCTCACAGCTCAAGGTTTAGGGTTCTTAGGGTTCTTAGGGTTTAGGGTTATTAGGGTTTAGGGTTATTATGGGTTATTAGGGTTTAGGGTTCAGTTTAGGGTTCTTAGGGTTTTAGGGTTTTACTTGGAGGCCCTTTTGACTTAGTAAGTAGCGTTAGTAAGGTGGGTTATGGGGATTATAATGGGGTTTCTAGGGGATACTAAGTAGACTTACTAAGTCAAAAGGGCCTCCAAGTAGGGTTTAGGGTTTTAAGGGTTGGGGTTTAGGGTTTAGGATTTAAGGTTTAGGGTCCAGTTTAGGGGTTTAGGGTTATGAGGGTTTAGGGTTCAAGGTTTAGGGTTCAGGGCTCCAGGGTCAAGATTAAGGGTTCAGGGCTTCGGGTTCATTCAGGAGTTTAGGGTTGTTTAGGGTCAGGGTTCAGCGCTTCGGGTTACCTCACTGGCCCAAAACCCAATGGAAACAAAGCTGAAACTTTCAGAATCGACTACCTTATAAGCACCGAAAAAGTTGAAAAGTTGAGCTTGCAGCCAATAAAATGTTCTTGGGGTTTACCTTGTCCCGGAATAACCTACAATTTTAACGACTTTTATAAGGAAGTCAGAAGAAGGAAGCCTAGAAAGGTGTGATATTCAGGGTTAAGGTACGTTTTTTTACTCAAGCTCTCATCCTGGTACCAAAATGACACCGGCTCTCTAGTCCTGAGACTCAGGAGGAATCGGAGCTTCGGGTGTGTTGTTGAAAAGAAGTGAAGAAGCCCCCAGAGAGCCCAATACCGCTTAATTAAGGAATATACCTTAAATAATAAGGGGCTTCATATTATGATTTAAGCTATATTCCTTAATTAAGGGGTATTATTGGGCTCTCTGGGTCTACATCCTTGCATGATACTCATTCCTCATCTCCATGAACCTCAGCAGTGGAGACCTTGCTTGCCCGTACAGCTCTTTCCCAGTCTTCTTTCGGCAAGATCTTGATGGCAAGCCCTGCGCTACGGAGCCGGGCAACCCTTCCATCAACTTGTGGCCGCTCACATTGATGCACTCTTCGCACTCTGGCTTCAGAGAAAGATCCATTAATCCCGGAAGAGCTTCAGAACTAGCTTTCTTGTAAAACTCTTGGTTCCAGTGGTTGTGGCCCCATCTCGACATCAGCATCCCAACACGTGGGGCTTCGAACTTCTGGCCATGGTTCATCTCTGCCTCCTTCAAAACGGTACCTCCCTGACTTATCTGTCAAGTTCTTGTCGAGGCTGTAGAGGAAATTCGTCTGGTCTAGGTCCGCAGTGCTGTACATGTATTTCATGCCTTGAACGCAATCGGCCTTTGTGCTCAAGGGGGAAGCCCTTTATTCCTGGGCGTGTAATCTTTAGAAATCCACTTCAGGATGACGGCCTCAACCTTTAGGGCCAACCTGGTAACCAACTTGAGCCTCGGATTCTTCAGAACATCATGGTGCCCCAAATAAAAACCCTTCTAGGATCCCTGAACGAACCCTAAACCCTAAACCCTAAGCCTTCCCATAAGGAACCCCCCCTGTGGGAGCCCTTTTGGGGGGGTCCCTGGGTCGCCCCTGTGTCCCCTTCCAGGAATCCCTAAGCGGTCCTTTTCTTGCATCCGAAACCAGAATCCCTTAAGGAGCCCATGCAGGCATTTGTCTAAGGGTCCGAGTACTTGGAGGCCCTTTTGACTTAGTAAGTAGGGTTAATAAGCTGGGTTATGGGGATTATAATAGGGTTTCTAGGGGATACTAAGTAGACTTACTAAGTCAAAAGGGCCTCCAAGTAGTCTTTACTTATGCTTGTTCGGTACCACAGGGCCCTTAAGGGTCCCTAGACCAGGATCTCCTAAGCAGCCCTTCCAGCCATCCCTAAACCCTAAACCTAAACCCTAAACCCAAACCCTAAACCCTAAACCTAAACCCTAAACCCTAAACCCTAAGCCCTAAACCCTAAAACCTAAACCCTAAACCCTCATTTCCGCGGCTCCCGACGCGACCACCACGGGGCGACGGAACACCGGCGTCTGGCTGGTCGAGGTGCGAGTCGGCAGCCCACCCTGTTCTGAAATGGGAGTTTCTTAGGGGACCCTAATATAGTACCCTAGATAGTAGGGTCCTTATTAATTATAAGGACCCCAAAATAAGGTACCCCTAATTTTCGGAAACTCCCAAGTAAGGGTGTCGTTAAGGGTTTTTTTGTTGCACGACCCTTTTCCGTCTCGCCAGATACAGAAAGTGAGATTTCCCTGAGCGTTTGGTCAGGCGTTAAGGGGTTTAGGGTTTAGGGTCTGAAGCAACTGACAGGTTCTTAGTAGGGAATGGGCGAATGGATTGTGGGGACTATTATTGGGGATTATATAGGGGCTATCATAGGGATCCAGTCCCCCATTCCCTACTAAGCATTCCCTACTAGGAACCAGGGAGGAAAGTTGGCCTGAAATAAGAGTGCCTTTAAGGGGCTCCTTTAAGGGGTTCCGTTAAGGGTACGGTTTCTATAAAGTTGGAGGGATTCCTCACAACGAAGTATTCAAAGTAAAAAGCCATAACATGAATTAAGAAGTAAGTACATAACTAACCCTATAACCAAATGAGTGAACTGGTGAATAAAAGTGTATTTATACAAATGCATATTAGGAGATTTGTAGATATACATACATGTGTATATAAACATGTGTACGCACATGTGCGTATGAGTAGGTGAGGGTTTCTGAACTTCGGAGGTTTCCTTGAACTGTGCCTTTGAGAAAAGCCTACCTTGTAGGGCGCCTTCCCACTTGTCGAATATCATGGGAAACTAAACGTTAACCTTGTTGGTTATATAGGGATTATACAGGGACCACACTACCCAAATAAGGTCAAAGGTTACCTACTCTACTACGAGGCCTTACTAAGGTTTCCCTTGCTGTATTTCCGAATTCTTCTTCCACTGCAGGTAGGATATCGCGGATCCTTAGATTGACGGGTTCCCTGGAGGTCTTTATGTTACTGTTACTGATCCTACTATTTATGGCTTACCGTGACGTCCCTTGTTTTCCGAGACTCCCGTGTATGCATGTTTAGTTATCTCTCTGCGCCTTGCCATCCTCACAGGTTCTGGCGTCTAAACTGGACTTGGGTAACCAAGGAGAAAGAGTTTAGGCGTTCACTTCATGCTGGTTCCCTTGAGGAACAGACCCCCGCAAAATATTCAAGTATGGCATTGCAGAACCCGGCAGATGCTCCAGTGCTTTAGGGATCAATAGGTCCGAAACCCTATACCCTTCTAGAATCCCTATAGATCCCTTTAAAGGGACCCTTAAAGGAACCCTTATAACTACCCCTGAACCTCGAATGCTTTAGGGATCAAGTGCGTGCGGGTTCACAGGATTCTGCGCGAGAGACAGATCGAAAACACCAGTTTAGGGTTTCTTACTTGGAGGCCCTTTTGACTTAGTAGGGTTAGTAAGGTGGGTTATGGGGATTATAATAGGGTTTCTAGGGGATACTAAGTAGACTTACTAAGTCAAAAGGGCCTCCAAGTAGGGTTTAGGGTACCAGATGACTAAGCTCTTCGTATGTTTCCCTTCGTCGTCACATGCCCTCTTGATTGCTTGCTTGCTGCATAACCTAGCCCAGAACATGCTAACCTGTTCAACCATGCTTCGCTCATATTAACCCCACAAGGATTAAGTTTACCGGCTCAGCTACTAAGTGTGGGAGTTGGGAATGCCCCTCAATCCGACATACATGAACCCTGAGACTTTCTGGAACTCTACACCACGAAACTGTCAAGACCACAAGCCCTGTGATGCTTCAAAACTGAAGTGTGAGCATCGGGTAGGCAGGCAAGCAGAAAAACAAAACCGTTGCACTCATTACACTCAGATTGAATTGGCGCTCACTCCTCTAGGCAGGAAGGCAGATGGCCTGAAGGAGAGTTCCAGCATGTCTAGATTCTAGCACCTAGCAGAGCGCAGCGCTCCAAGCCCACACAACGATCGCTGACGGCATCAATGAAGGCAATCCATGGATGCAGGGTTTCTCTCTCTCGGCCCTGAACTGCCCATGCGTTCAAAAATTACATCGCTCATTCAAGCGAAGAGTCCAAAAAGCAAGTATGAAGCAAAGACGAATACTGCTCAATAACCTTGTCCCGTAAAAAGCCTGGGAGTGTAGGAATCTCTGGTTTTTCGTTTTGGATCTCCGAGCGGCTTCATCGGTTCATTTGGAACCTTCCAGGTTTCCCCTGCAGTAAGTAGGGTTTCCTGGCTTTAATGCTCAGGGAACCCTAAACCTAGATAAACCCTAACCCCTAAAACCAGAATCGCGACACTGAAAATCGCCCTGCAGTAGCTGAAAGCCAGGGGCCCCGGCCGTCACCCTCATGTCTGGGCTGGGGGACCGGTCCTGTGCAAGAAAGGCTTTATAGGGTATAGGCCTACTTGTCGGGTATCATGGGGAACTAAAGGTTAACCTTTTTGGTTGAATAGGGGTTATATAGGGACTATACTTCCCAAGAAAGGTTAAAGGTTGCCTACTCTACTACTAGGTAGGGTTCAAGGGTTGGGGTGTTGAGTTTAGGGTTCAGGGTAAACCAGCACCCCCCCCAACTAGCCTCTATTATGGCCTAAATACCCACTAGTAAGGGCCATAAGGGCTCTATTTAAGGGTACCTGGGGGGTCCTGGAAGGGTCGGATGTACGGGCCTTGATGAGGATAGGGTCTTTGAGGAATCCAGTACTGTGCTTACCCTGAGGCTCCATGTACCCATATAGTATATACTCAGGCCTTAGAAGTACCTATATAGCGAGCCTTTTAAGGCTTAAGTATCTACAATAAAGGTAGATGGCGCCTTTATAACAAGGAGCCGTGAAGGAAATGTATTGGCAAGAACCCAGGCCTCTACAATCGGTACCAGCTGCATCTGTGGCCTTTGAAACCACAAAACCAAGCCTGAACCTTATGTGCTGCGCAGCAAATCGAAACACGCTACATGTTTGCATCTTTTGCTTTCGTTCATATACTTACGCTCCAAGTTCTAGAACACCCGCCGCAAAACCATAAAGAAAGCATATAATTGTGCTTAAAAGACCGCCTTGCGCCTATGCTATAATAAGCATCAAATAATGCTAAGGAACACCCTGGGCGCAGAGGCGAGACGAGTGGCACAGGACTTGGGGTTCAGGGCTATGGCGCTACAGCGTGGGATTCTGGGTGCATAACCCAAACCTGAAAACTGCGAGGCCCCTGAAGACCCAGACCTTCCAAAATCCCTTAATTAAGGAATATACCTTAATTCATATTTGGGATCCTATTATACTTTAAGGTATATTCCCTAATTAAGGGATTTTGGAAGGTCTGGGGACCCATAGCCCCGAGTTGCCCGAAACTCAGACACTGGAAATCCAAGTGCAGCCGCAGCGGCAACCGCCGGGGAAGGGGAAGACGGGTAGTACGCCAACCCGGGCCTCAATCCACGGTTGCGACTTGCAGTGGTATCAACATTAAGGGCTAGATCCTGTGACTTTTTTGGAGTGGTGCTGTGGTGGGGTACCGGGCTTGGGTGTTGCGGTTGAAGAAGGCTTTGGGGGGTAGGGTTCGGGGTGGGTCTTTAAGGTATTATAGGTTCAGGGTTTAGGTTTAAAGTTTGTTTTGGATTCTGGCAAAATAGCTTACCAGCTCCATGGTGGAAGTTCCTGGTTATTTTTTCGTATAATGTACCGAAAACTCGATTCTAGTTATTAAGGCCCCTCTATTAGGCCTTTGGGGAGCGCAGGATTTCAGTCCATGCTTCGGGCGCTCGAGAAGGGTTTTTGGAGGTCGGTCTTAGGATTCAGGCACCTCGGCTTTGACACTTAAGCTTTCGAAGAGAAAGAATAGAGAGAGAGAGAGAGAGAGAGAGAGAGAGAGAGAAGGGGAGAAAAGAGAGGGAGGGGGAGGGGGAGAAACGAGAGAAGAGGAAAGAGAGAAAAGAGAAGAGAAAAGCGATAGAGAGAGAGAGAGTGTGTGTGTGTGTGGGACAGTAGAGAGACAGAGCCGATGGATACATGAGATGCATGTATAGTTACGTGGGTAAGTTTTCTCAGTCAGGCACGTAGCCCGCCTCCAGAACTAACTACATGGGTGGTTGTCAACATTATGGTCCCTTTTTGGGTACCCCGAGTAATAGGTGCCATATTAGATTAAGGACCCAAAACGGGACCCTAATTTGGGATTGCAGCTGTAAAGGCTTTGAGTCTGTCGGGTGGACTCGCGGTTGAAGGTCAGGGCCTGGGCTCCCCTAAACCCTATAAGCCCCTAAAGCCCCATAAGTTTCCAAGCAGCGCCATTTGGGGGTTTCCGAAAATAGGGGACCCTAATATAGGACCCTAAATAGTAGGATTCTTATTACAAGGACCCCCAAATATGGTACCCCTAATTGTCGGAAACCCTAAACCCTAGACCGTTTACGATCATGGAACCCTTATAGATCCCTTTAAGGAACCCCTGAAGGATTCCCTTAAAGGTACCCTAAGTTGCGGAAACTCCCATTTTACTGCGATGTTTGGCGGTCAGGCTCGGCCCGTTCCACGCGCCGCAAGCTCCCGGACTGCCCACAACAGGCGGACAAGCTCCAAGCCTATTTAGGGTTTTGGGTTTAGGGGTTTAGAGTTTAGGGTACTCTAGACGCTTAACCCTAATAGCCTAACAGTCCATAGGTTAAAAAGTCGAATTTCTAGTCCTTCTTGTGTTTATATACGTACCCATAAAAATGTGTAAAATGTTAACCAACTATGACGAAGAAACGATCTTGTGGAATTTCCATGCCCATCTCCTCCAGAAAGAACTGCATGACGTGCAACTGCCTTTCTTGAGCTGCGATTGACACAGGGGTTGCGCCAGTGATGTTGGCTTTGTTCTTGTCAGCTTTGGATTCCAGCAAGAGACGCACCACTGGCAGCTGCCCATTTTCGGCTGCAATGGATAACGGGGTGGTGTCGTTAGCATTGGCCTTGTTCTTGTCAGCCCTGGCCTCCAACAAAAAGCGGACAACTTCCAACCACCCTTTTTTTGCAGCTATAAACAAAGGGGTGGTGCCGTTGATGTTGGCCTTGTCCTTGTCAGCCCTGGCCTCCAGCAACAGGCGTGCAACCTCCAACTGTCCATTCTGAGCTGCGATGAACAAAGGGGTGGTACGATTGTTGATGTCGATCTTGTTATCCTTGTCAGCTCTGACCTCTAACAGAAGACGTGCAACTTGGCATTGCCCTTCCTGAGCTGCGACGCAAAGCGGGGTGATGCCAAAGATGTTGGCCTTTTCCATGTCAGCCCGGGCCCCCAGCAAGAAGCGTGCAACTTCCAACTGCCCGTTCTCAGCTGCGATGAACCTGAGGCTGAGTACCCTAGCCCAAAGAAGGTTAACCTTGTCAATTGTGGCAGCGTTATATCAGCATTATATAAACACGAAAAAGGTGCAAGGTTACTTACTCCGCTACTAAGTTTTATAGAAGCCCTTATGGAGACCCAAACAGGAAGCCGTAAGGAACCCTTACAAACACTCCTTAAGGATCCCTCTTGCTACTAACTAGGATACCCAGTAACCTAAGAATAAAAAGGCCTCTCTTTTTGGTATTGGGTAACTTTATAAGGAACCTAGGACTACAAAAAGGCAATAAGGGTACTACTGGGCATCCTAGCCCCTAATTTCCTGAAACCCTACACCCTTTATAGAACCCTTATAGATCCCTTTAAGGAACCCCTAAAAGATCCCTTACGAGCTAAGGAACAAAGGCGTCGTGTACCCGGCATTGGCCTTGTCGTCAGCCTTGGCCTCCAACAAAACCGACCGAATCCCTAGCATCTTTGGCCTGGGATCGATAGGGCTCCTTAAAGGGATCTATAGGATTCCTGAACAAGATCTATAGGCTTTTTTTGTTTATGGGTTCTACTTAAAGACTCATGGGACTTAGTAACTAGGGTTATAAATAAGGTAACTAGACTTATAAGTACTTATAATCCCAATTAGGGTACTTATAAATGTACTTACTAAGTCCCATGATCCTCCAAGTAGGGTTTAGGGTTTAGGTCTGGGCTCCTTTAGGGTTTACCTTAACCCTGAATAACCACCCTGAATAACCTACCTTTTTAGGGCCCCTCATTATGATTTCTTTGTATAAGTCCTCAAAAAATGCAGGTTCTTCGGGGCTAAGGTTCGTTTAGGGCTCTTTGCAAAATTACTCTAAGAGCCCTGGGTACTGCTATAGGGTATACTTCCCCAAATCATAATAGTAATTCCTAACATAGCAGCCCTACCTTCTACTATGTAGGTACTTTGGACCCTCTGGGAAATTACTCTAAGGGCTTAGGGCTTGAATATTTGTGGGCTTAGTTTCTCGAGCCTTGGGCCAAAGCGGCGAAACATGCATCAACGTACACCGAATCTACGAAATTTCGCACGGGGAGACTCACGTACGGACAAATACATGAGGGATTCCTCAGACCCTAAACCCCTAACCCGTTCACCAGCGTCATGCAGTCTCGGATTCCTCAGCCCCCTAAACCCCAAGCCCCTCGCTAAAGTGTCGACTTAGTGCCCCAAACCCTGAAGCCTGAGGAGGTTCAAGTTAATAGGGTTTAGGGTTTAGGGTAGGTCAATATATGGGTGCAGCAACTAGAATAGGATCACGGACTATAAGCGACTACTGCAGCAATTATTCCGACCCTTCCATAAGAACTTTAGCGCGTAAGCTTCGGATGTACAGAGAGAAACTGCGGGGCCAGGCATTCGGGTCTAGCTGTAGTCTAGGATGTGGGGATTCGGCTTGAGGCTTTCCTAAAGCCCTGGACCCCAAACCGAACCACCCTAGACCCTTTAGGATTTAGGAGCTTACGGAAATCTTGACTTCAAGGGATTCGATCTCATCCTACCCTACGAGTTGGGGCTTAAGGTATATTAGGTTGGTTGGGGGCGTTCGGGGAGCAAAGGGGCTTTGGGTGTAGTCAAGAGACACTGTTTATTGTAGACCTTCTCCAGAGAGCCCAATACCCCTTAATTAAGGAATATGGCTTAAATAATGAGGGGCTTATAGGGGCTTCATATTATGATTTAAGCTGCATTGCTTAATTAAGGGGTGTTGGGCTCTCTGGGTCGTTGATGTTGAGGCTTAAAGACCTGGGGCCGACTGGGAGGATGATGGGACTAAGGCAACTACAGCAAACCCCAAAAAGTTGGAAACTGGATTATAGGGATAATTAGTGCTGGGATCCCCTATACATTACTCTTCAGGATTGAGGCAAATGGGTTTCCAACTTTGGGGCTTCTACTGTATGCATATAACTACTTATAACTTACTTGCTCAGTCCCATGATCCTTTGAGTAGATGCAAGGTTTACGGCTCAGGCTGCACGGTATCCTCGAACTCTATCGTTCCATGGGGCTGGTCTGCACATAATGCGCTGCTTTACAAGCGTAATTACCCTGAATAATGCCCAAGGATCCCTAAACCCTAAACCCCAAACCCTAAACCCAAAACGGCAAGGATTTTTCCAGCAGCTCTACAACGGAAGTTGCCCGCTCAAGCATCGTCTCCTCAGCAAGAACGGAGTTTCTTCAAAGTCGGCTGGAGCCCATACGGTTGATGATATAAATCGTGCATTCCCCATAACAAGGAAGGAACATACCATGACTCCCACAGCCTAGGGTCAGTAAGGTAATGCAGGCTATATATGATGTATCGTATGACCGAAGAAGCACCAAACCTTACACGCGAAACCCTGAGAAAGTGTCAGATTCCACAGCGCCCAAGGTCCGAAATCCCGAACCTTTTACTAGCCCTAAGCCGGAATTGACCCTCAAAGTCCTACTAGCCTCCAGCACAAAGAGCCAGCACCATGACACCGTAGCCCCTTAACTCCTCTCAGTTCTACTCAGTTCCTCACAAGTTAGCTTGCAAGCCATTCGGACTTCCAACTAAGGTAAATTCTTCACTACGGAAGATTCTACAATTCCCAAGACCTATCCGAAGCAGCACACCCCGCCCCTTGTCCATCCCTGTTAGATTACTGGTAGATGTGTTAGCATTGACTACATGTTCGAACTTTGATTCGCTTATGGGTTAATTGAACGTGACAACTTGGTCAACACATGCATGCTGCGGAGGGATCACGCCGAAAAGTCGAACCCTCAAGCCTTCATGACTCTCGGCAAGGAGAGCCAAAACCTATAATGACAGCAAGGATCGCAACCAACACCGAGTGTGCCACGGGAATGGCAGCTGTGAGAAAGGACAACCAACGACTATAACCTGTAAGGTCTACACCACCGAGTATAGAGTTGCAGGTACATGTGCCGACAGCAAGATCGCAAACTCAACACCAAGCCAACAAAATCACACTACCCAAACACCAAACTCTGCACCTAAACCCAGCCCAAATCCGACAGAAAATCCCAAGCCCTAGCGTCTGTGTTGTAATGGCAGGGCTCCTACCGGTATTTGTCAGAAGGTGCATCTCTAGGACCAAAAGCCACGTTCAAAAAGTCTCCCAAGCCACACAAAATCCGAGTGGCCAACAAACACCAAACCTGATGCCCTGAACCCTATCCAAATCCCCAAACCCGAAACCCCAAGCTGCAAACCCGACTTACTTGGGAGTTTCCTAAAATAGGGAACCCTATTATAGTACCCCAAATAGTAGGATCCTTTTTATAAGGACCCCCAAGCAAGGTACCCCTAATTTTCGGAAACTCCTACTTTCTGTGGAGCATCTCCATAAGGAAGGTTGGCCTTCGCCAAGGAGTTCGCGAGCCTCGGAAAACTTGACGGTTTAGGGCTTTAGGGGTTTAGGGTTTCAGGGTTGAGAGCTTGGGTTCTTTTCTTAAATTTAAGGGCGTATGGGGTTTGGGGGTTTGGAGTTTGGGGTTTTAGGGGGTTTGGGGCTTAGAGTTGGTGGTTTAGGGTTTTGGGGGTTTATGGTTTGGCGAATGTTTCTTTTAGGATTTTAAGGTTTTGGGATTTAGAGTTTAGGGTTCGTTCACGGTTTATGGTTTACCCTATATCCAAAACCACTGAACTTACCTCCCTCCCCGTGAGTGGTTCCATACTAACTTCAAGGGTTGAAAAGCCAGATATCTACAAACTACAACGCGCGAACCCACATTGCAAAACACACTGCATGTCCTAAACCCACTAGCCTAATTCTCAGAGGATTTGGAGGGGGGGTTTGGAAGGGTTCGGTTTCGACATCGAGATCCCGAGGTTTAAGTGTCGACGCTTTGTTCAGAAAAGTCCCGCCAGCGCCATACACCCGAAACCCGGCCTGTCACCTGTGACTGCAGCCACCAGGACACATCATCCCAGACTGTCGATTTTTGAGGTGGAGATGCAGCAAAGGTCGCGAAACCTAAAACCCTGTGAAAGCCCCGTGATCCGAACAATTCCGCAACACGGAAAGCCCCTCAAACCCTGCAGCCGTAAGTACCCTGTACTCCGAGCGACCTGTACAGTAGGACCTTTGAAGTCCCACGTATATGATAAGGTTATCTAGAAGAAGATATCTAGAAACGAAAGATACGATGTGATGTCTACCTATAGGTGCATGTATGTATACATGTAAGTATGTATGTATGTATGTATGTATGTATGGACCGCCGTGTTTATGTATATGTACTTATATATATGCATGTGCATGAATATACATATACATGCTCGTGCACGTGTATGCATGTGTATGTACCTGTGTACATATCTACATATCTGTTTACATATATTTGTATATGTATATATACACATGCTGTGTATGGGGATCTATCAGCAAACAGTACGAACCATTAGACCATAAGACTGAAACCCCCACATAAAACCGCAAGATAAATCTAGATAAACCAAACACCAGACGCCAAACCCTGAACCCTTTGAAGCCCAATTCGAATCCTCGACCCTTCACCAGGCTTACAAAACCCAAAAGACCCCTAAGCTTCTCTCGGCACCCGAGGCACGCCAGCGCCTGCTGTGCCAGCTCTAAGGCAGGCTTCCCCTGAGGAGCTCGGAGGTGTCTTGCTTCTTGTTTATAAGGATTAAGTTTACGATTTACGGCTTTTTTGCTTCCCAGCTAGCTATAGTAGAACGAGCCCGCATTGCAGGGTTTTAGGGGTTGTCGCTTTGAGGACTTTAGAGTTTTTAGGGGTCTTCGTCATTGTCATAGACTTGTGTGTACTTGGGCTATCTTGGGCTATTGTATCTGTTGCTTTGGAGAGGCTGCTCTGGTTTTGGTTTGGGTGCACAAAAGGCTGGGACGCTTGTTGGATGCTGGAGTGTGTCTAAAATG